AACTAAAGTAGAATTTTTTTCTGGTATATTTCATAATTGTATTCTCATGTGCCACAATATTTAATTTGGTCTCTTGTATGTATCCTGTTTCATCCTGCGTGTAGTACTATCTTGTACGGTGATTTGAACAAATGGTGGAACATCCAAAATAACTGGGTTAGGTTGTATCCTGACTTGAAAAGTAACGATAACAAACAACTAATAATTCACTTTTATCCAGGACATACTAAGTGAGTTACATTCACCTGTTTAAAGTAGGGTCTTGCATTTGGATGTTCGATCGCAGCTACTTGTTAGATTAAACTAGAGCAATGCCGTGGAAACTCATGATTTTGAGAGGTTAACATTTAAAAGCCCACAGTCGTGGATTGCCATCCACACCCACTTGATGTACTGCCATCTCCTGGCCAACCCCTAGCGATGCACAGACGTGTGTGTGTGTGACCCACGCCTCCGAAGTTGTGGATTTAACAGGCGCGTTATCGAGCGACACCCAACTGCAATAAATAACACGAGTAAAAAATTAACCCGTATAAACTAATTTTTTTACTATAAATCCTTTATATGCGTGGCATCGGTTTTATTTTATTATTCATTTCTGTTTTTCTTGAGTAAGAGTTTCATTTTTATCACATTGGTATTTTAAATTAAATATGAAAAAAAAAATCCCTAAAAAGTGGAAAAATTGTCACGCACAATGAGTCTGTGTGCAAAATGTCAGCTCAATTGGATCACGGGAAGTGGGTTAAAAAACGACCGAAAGATTTGCACGGTCATAAGCGCGCAAGCAAGCAAGCAAATGAAGGATTTTAAAAAAAAGATATGTACTTTAAAAGTTTGCTAAGGTCGAACAACCTCCGATCCCGAACTAACGAACAAGTTCGGTTTATCCATAATACAGTTTTTTTGGGTTAGATCGGGTAAGTATAAATGTATCGTTAAACCCGCCACCACCCGACACAGCCAATTAATCAGTAAGGTTTGTCACGTAAACAGAACAATTCGTTACTAGTACAGCACACCGGTGAGAAAATTCACAACATTTAGAACGAATTGGCACATTCTGTTTACGTGACAAACCTTACTAATCGGCTGTGTCGGGTGGTGGCGGTTTTAACGACACATTTATATTTATGCGATCTAACAAAAAAAAAACTGTATTAAGGATATTGGCCGCGAAAGCCTACTGCGTGTTAAACTGAAGTTGAGTTTATCACGGTTATGAATACCGCACAGTACTGCATAGTAGACTCTTGATTTTCCGCGTGCAGTTTATCCGCACACCTGAGATGTTGACACAAATTAATAGCTCGTGAATTTTCCCTGAAGCCCAAATGAATAATTCCTGGACATTTTTTAAAATTACAAATCACACGTTGCTTAAACCGAACAAATATGTTGCTCCGGTTGATCCGAAATCCACGTGATCGTCCCTACACTACAGTGGTTGCATATATTTACAACAGTGGGGCGAAGTTACATTTTTATTGGCATAGCTTTGCTAACATCCACTTAGTGGGCGAACTCTTCAGCGCTGACAAATGCGGTTTTTGGCAGAGAGATCCGCAGAATTTTTTTTCGATTATCCGTTATTGCCAATCATCCACGGTCGTCTTCCCCGTCATTTGTGCGGATAATCGAGTATTCCTGTACTTAGATTGGAGACTGGCCAAGCCTCCGGGGCTTGGGATGTGATGCGGCCAACAGGTGGCAGCACAGCGAAGGGTGGGGGGGGGTGAGCCCTGGCTTTTTCGCGATCTTCCCGAAGGCAAACACTTAATAATGGAAATGGCCAAACAATCTAACGAAGTTCCCTCCTGAAAAGTTGTTAAACTCGGTTAAATATTCCTGAGTAAAGGGCATTTTATTATTAAGGAGTTAGACGATTCCATTATCAGCCATGCACTGTCCACTGCTGGATAGCCGTTATCATCTCCTTGATACGAGCTGATTACATCGCTCCATCTCCATGTTGGTGGTACTCTTGGGCATGCATCCGTCATTTGGATGCCACTCCGTGGTTAATCTCGCCATCCGCACCTAATAATGACATGCCCTGTACAAGACCACGTACTTCTCTGAGCAGTCAATAGATACAATAGCTATTGTCTTGTTTTCTGTTGTAACGTTCTGACCGACACCCACTGGACGTCTGTGAAAGAGATTCATAGCTCATCGATTTTCTCCAGGATAAAGAAAGATTTTGTTCTGAAATAAGGACAAATCAAGAGGTACGACATAAAACACTGGGTTTCCTTCAGGAAGCAGGATAAATAATTTAGGTTATTCGAGTCAAAAATCGTATAACTTTGACCATTAACCAAAATATTGTGTTTCACTGGAGCAGACGCTACTGGTGCCGTGTGCTGTGATTTACGCGTTGCTTTCTTTATCCGGTAGCGTCCCAATTTGAACTGCGATTGAATGGAATTATTGAAACGTGGCTCATTTCTACTTGAATCTCATTCAACTTCATCCGAAATGCGTGTAATTCCGCAAAATATACACTGTACAAAACCCAGACGTGTTTTTCCTGTTTGTGAGCAGGATGGATTTTTTTAAAGCACATATTCATTCTCATCCTTCGTTTAAAACGTTTCCAGACAATCTTTTTCAAATGCGAAAAAGTAATTTTGAGAGCAGCAACAACGCAGGAAGCACACAATCACGCATCTTACCTTGGCACCAATTATTAAACTCGACTCATATTTGCCAAGCAATGGGAGGGCTTGGCAACTTGTCTAGCAGCAACATTAACTCAGACCGACCACCTGGGGTAAGGCAAACACACTACCATGACTACTACATAGGGAGACCTCACAGGGCTGCATGTGCAGGAGGGCATACTTCCTATATTGGGCTGTGGGGGGGGGGGGGGCACATAAAACCAAGTGGGGGTACGCAGGGCCACATAGCAAAGCAGGCCACGCTGGCAGAGGCCACCTGGCTTGCATTATGGGCTCTTCTTATTCTCTGCAAAAACTCACCACCTCAAGCAGCCTGCGAAATGTGCTGTTGCTGTTGGACCACATTTTACTCTCGTTTGACCCCAGCGGGCGCTTGGTTTCCGTTTATTTATGCCCCCAAGGTGGCCTGGCTTTGGTCACACGTGCCGCACATTTGTGGGCACGAGCGGACAATTGTACAGCAAATTAATGAAACGTCTTCATTCTCGGCTGCGTGAGAGCACAACGAGACACGATACACTAATTTATTGATATATCTAAAAGCCTCACAAATCCCGTTGGATGTCAATGGAGGTTGTTTACCGTGCTTCGTCAGGAGGGGTTGATGAAGGGTTGACCCAGGACAAGTTCATGCCCCATATCACCTCCCGTTGATGTTTAATGTGGCCAGGAAAATCTGGGCAGGCATATCATATCACCAGATGTCGAACACTAAGCAGGGTTAAGCTCAGCACTTTCATGGAAGACTGCCTGAGAATACCAGGTATTGTGGTGGTTGGCCTGCAACGTGACCGTAATGAAAATGTTAATCTATCTGTACGTAACTTTTAAAGATACCTCTCTGGTATGTGCGGCTTTTCTCCAGGTTCTCAAAGTTCCTCACGCAAGCCAAACACCCCATTTATGGCAATGTACAAACATCCCAATACAGTATGAAAAAAATTAACCCGTAAAAACAAAGTTTTTCACTATAAATCCTTTATATGCGTGGCGGCTAGAGTCCTCTCGTCCTCTGGCTTGAGATGGCTGCCACCTATGGGTCAGATGATTGTCTGCCAGCATTAAGCAATTGGTAATTAAATATTTTTAAAAAATTCCCTAAACAGTGTAAAATTTTGGAAACAAATTTTAACGAAAATTTATTGTCACGCACAACGAGTCTGTGTGCAAAATGTCAGCTCGATTGGATCACGGGAAGTGTGTTAAAAAACGACCGAAAGATTTGCACGGTCGTAAGCAAGCAAGCAAGCACGCAAGCAAGTGAACTTAATATAAAGGATTTAAAAATAAGAATAGGTTTTTACCCTTTCTGGCAATAAAACAGGTGTTAAGAAGATGTTCAAACACCAAATAGAAACCTTTTGCAAGGAATCAAGTCTATATTAATCACACCAACTTGTGGTGAACATGCTCTGATAAGATTTGCATTGTTTTTGAAACTGATTGCCCTACACCAGAGACAGCCTTCTTTAGGGTCTAGTCTCACCAGTGTCAGACCAGAGAACACCAAAAGGCGAACTGTACAGTATTCTTATGTTTTCATAATTTTATACTGCCAAATAGGTCCCAATTTGTATCCCAATACAGGACTGTCCTGAAAAATATAACTGAGACTCCATCCTAAATAAAAGGCATTCTTAGGTTATTTTACCTTATACATTACATGAGTATGTTATGAAAGTAACTGTTGTACATAGTGTAATACTTTATAGTACTTTATAAACATTTGTATCGAAGCTTCCGGACCTGTATGTGCAACCTTTGAACATTCTCCCATACACATTTCAAATGGGTTTCCTCTGGGCCCTGCTCCTTTCTACCACGTGCAAGCAATTTACAAATAATGGGCCAAACATCAGAACACAGCAACCCTTCTAAACATGGGTCTTGGCATTGCTCGGTATACCAATAGCAATAATGGTAATTTGCTCGTTACTATTGCATTAAATATTGCGACTGGGCAAGGAATCGGGCCGGCATTAGCCGTCTTGGGCATTGTCTACGCTCTGGTAGACCCCTACGACTGGCTGGCATTTGAGCCACGGTTTTTTTTATTCCAGAGAGAAAGAAAAAAAATGGTATTCAATAAAATAAAGCTCAAAGCCCTGCAAGAGTCCATTCGGCGCTAAACTGTGCAGTTTATGTTTTGTGCGTTTGTGGCTGCCCTTTCCAGAATGAGCTCAGGCCGCGCTGCGTTTTAATCCCGCGAGGGTGAAAAGGGAGTTTGGGTGGAGGCCAGGGAAAGGGCTTAGTTTGGAATTGATTCTTTTTGGCTGCCGCTGACTTGGTGCGTCTGTGTGTGAGAAAAAAAAGAATGAAGGCGGGGACACGGAGGGGAGTAGGGTTGTAAGTGTGTTGTGTAGCGAACGGGTGTATATAAGGGAATTGATCTCGTGACGGTCTGGCCTTGACTATACACAAATCCAGGCGGTGGCGCCCAGACGAAGGGAAGCCATCTGAGGGTTAATGCTCTCAGTGAAGGTAAGTCAACATTGGATGCTGCCCACACACATTATGCTCGACATTATAATCGTAAGATTCGTCAGTGGGAAATGTTAGCAATTATTTACACTGTTGACTGTACCCGAGTTACGGTTTTGAGAAGATGAGTTTTAATCCTGGCTAGGATAATTTCAGTGCAAGATCATCCTCGTCGATTTAAAGCTTTCGTGACTGCAGGGATTCATCTTCTTGGTTCTTTCGGTAAAGTCACGTAGAAGGGAAATAATAAAATAATAAAAATAAAACATAATTAAATAATTCTCACGACGTTTCGGCCACAACGCAAGACGCTGTCTCCCCGACAGACCTGTTCTTCACCTGAAGACGGCTGCTTGCGTTGTGGCCGAAACGTCGTGAAAATTATTTTATTATGTTTTTTTATTATTTATTATTTCCCTTCTACGAGACTTTACCGAAAGAACCAAGAAGATCATCCTCATCATTCTAAGATCAGGAAAAAATAAGTACCAATTGGTGGGGCCGCACCTCTTGATGGTAAGCCAAGAGTGGAGTTGAGATGAAGACTTGTCCCCTCCACAGGAATGTGGATTTTCCACCACTGGCACGGCTCAGCGTTCATTTGAGCATGGGAACACTTAGACCTTTTTGCTACTGAATGTTTCTAAATATGTTCATTCTGTCACCGAATGTATAAATGTACAAAATATATATACTTCCACATGCAATAAAATTCCAAACCAAATGTTTTCCAGTTGCATTTGTTTAATCAGGCAAACTCTGGAACGACTTTCACTCTCAGCAGTAGGGTGCGGCCTGTTAAACAAGTATTATCGGTCTTCTTGGTTCTTTTGGTAAAGTCACGTAGAAGGGAAATAATAAAATAATAAAAATAAAACATAATAAAATAATTCTCACGACGTTTCGGCCACAACGCAAGCAGCCGTCCTCAGGTGAAGGAACAGGTCTGTCGGAAAGTATTATCGGGTTACCAAGATGTTGCAGGCAAGTTTAAGGTTTATAAGGTGCGTTTTTAAAGTTGGCAAAAGGATTTCATTGCTTGGCTCGCTGTACTGTTGGTCTGCTTTGGAAATCGCATAAGCTCCCCCCATCATCTTCCTGTTACGGATGACATTTTTCAGTCTGGTTCTGTTGGAAAATATTTAACTTGGGCATTTCTATTTCTGTCATGAAGCAAATGGAGTAGCAAATGTTGCAAAAATATCAATGCACGGGGAGGTTGTTGGTTCGCTCAAAGATCAGGGATGCTGAGATCCTGGGTTCGAATTGGGGCAGCTGCGGATGATTACGTAGTGATTTGACGGTTTCAAGTTGGTCATCAATGATTGCACACACAAAAAAGTCCGCACGAATAATACATTTGCTGTTGTACTTAATTTGGCTAAATTCCAGCTCTGAGAATTAAAAACATCGGCTTGACTGTCAGGCGACAAATCCGTTGTCTCTCTAGCGAGGCGGTTGGGAAAATGCTGCTGCCCAGTATGAGGGCAATTTGAAAATATTTCATAAGTAGTTCTGTGAAATTATGTTCCACGGGCCATTCTGTTATACAGTATTTCCAAATTGATTCGTTTTCTCATGATACGATGCCTATCGCACTTGGCGGGGAAAGGCAATAAATAATATTAGATCAAGATCCAATTATCATCTTTATTTATTATTTAAACAGTTAATTACGTGTTCCTGGTTATATATACAAAGCAGTGGTGCAGTGGTTTGCATACTGAGTCATGAACACAGAAACTCGAGTTCTATTTCTGGTAATGGTTAACATCAGTGGCAAGTGATATCTGAACTGTTCTTGAGCATGCCCTGACGGCAATCCGCACTAATCGGCATGGTGAAGTATAGTCAAACAACGCCTCGTAAGATAGAGCGGAGAGAGTCTTCATTCAGCAGTAAATAAAAAAATTATGTAAGTCGTGATTGGTTTATTATATTAAACAAAAAAAAGTCACCCATGGTGGCTCATGACTGAAATCCAGCACCTTTGCAAGCAATAGTTAGTGGATGACACAGATACTGTATTCGTGGATTTCCCAAAGCTGCCCGGCTGTGACGTTCCCAGGAGATGACACGACAACAAGCGGGTTTATGAACTAATTATAATGGTGACGCTGCATTAGCAGTGATGCAGGAGCGCCACTGCTCAATTATTGATGATCCATACGGACGGCTGAATGTTGTCCTCTGGCATGCGAGGTGAGTTTTCTCAGGGTCCTCTGGCTTCCTCCCACACAAAATAAAACAGCCCCTAATTTAAACTTGAAATTGGCCAAAACATCTCAACGAGGCAAGATCCTCCTAAAATAATATTGTTAAGATTCAGTGGGGCTTTTATTGCTAAATAAGGTATTATCATCATCATCATAGAGGCATCATTCACGAATATTTTATGGTCATATAAAGCAGGGTATAAAGCTAGGACACTGTGACATATTTGGCATAAGTAATCTAGACCGTGGTTTTCCCAGAACACGTGTCTTGGGTGGCTGAACTTTTCATGATTACTGGGCAGAAGATTGGCCAACACCTTCACATTTTGGATGTAGGAGGAAGCTACAGTGGTTGAAGAAAGCCAACTCATACCAGGGGATTTCACACACAAAAATTACCATACACATTAATCAGCAACCTATTTGCTACTGTTATCTACTTGCAATCTCTGAGCCCAGAAGTTTGTGTGTATCGTTCACATGATGTTCTTTGCATGATCAACCAACACACTTGTATTACAGATGTGGTTACTTAGAGACAATGGAAAAACACACACGTTATAAATGAACAATTATGTAATTTATCACTTTAGGAAAGCCTCACTCCATTCGGCTAACGTTGGCATGTGGTTGGAGGTGTTCGACCAAAGATTATCCCAGAATTCGCCCCAATGTTCCATGTTTACTGCGACTGAGTCTCAAGTATCTTTTTCACGACTGTCCTGGTGCAATGGGGGTGAGTGATGTTTGGCCAAATCCATGAATGGGCATTTGCTTTTCACGTGGGAAGAACCCAGAGAAAATACACCACACATACGAAGGGGCAGCACGCAAGCTCCACACAGATAGATTCAATAATCCATTGCTGCACTGCCATCTCCTGGTCGCCTCACAGCACGAGCCTATAGCACCTGGTATTCCCAGGCAGTATCCCACAATCCAAGTGTTCAATAACGGGGTATAGTTAATAAACGACCTTTTAAGTTGCATAGAAAAATTATCGTAACACCCATTAATAACGGAAAATATAAACGCCAACAAAAAACATGTCAAATCAGTCCATCTGGTTCACTTTGAATGTCCTGTACTGCATTTCCACTTCATTACCCCATAGCAACACAAAAACATAACACAGCCAGCGGTCACACGTGTTTGTAAAGTCGGGAGTGGCGGGGAGGCATCTCCAAATGACGACATAAAAACACTGAGAAGAAACGCATAAAAAAATTATGCAACTGTAAAAATATGCACTCGTGTTATTGTGCGGGTTTGTATGGCAACGAGCGTTGTATCCAATTGGTTCACGTCCATTGACCACAACTCGCGTTTATCTTTATATTATAAACACAACTCTTCCGACTTGTTGTTCCGCTCTCTCCCTGTATACAATTGTCCATGTTTAACGAGTAACGTGTTATAACACGATGGTGGCGCTTTTAGGGTGGCAGTTTTGTGCCAGAAATTCGCCACGTTTTTAAATAAAAAAAGAACATTTTGACATGCTTTGGCAAAAGGGGTAACATTCTAAGAGCAATGAGCGTCAAAATAATGATTAAGATTGATAATCAGTGTGTTAAGGTGACTAATTGTGCTAAGTAATTAGGCACATTAACGTATCTGTCAACCCATACGGCTTAACCCGTATTCTTGTACAGGGAAATTGAGTTTTTAGGTCTACACGGCGTACAGCCGTTTCAATACGGGCACAAAAATAATGTGTTTGTCTATTTGTTCGTTTCTCCCTTGCGATGGGACTTTGTAGGATGAACGTTGAGATGTATAAGGGGCACGGGGGTGACCAGTAAGGTCTGAATTGGTCTGTAATAAGGTAGGGCACCGATAAGGGGTTGACAGATATGCATTAATGGTATAAACAAAATGTGTTAATCATAAATTTCGATTGAAAGCTTTCGTGACTGCAGGGATTCATCTTCTTGGTTCTTTCGGTAAAGTCACGTAGAAGGGAAATAATAAAATAATAAGAATAAAACATAATAAAATACAATTTTTTCAGACGCTGTCTGACAGACCTGTTCTTCACCTGAGGACGGCTGCTTGCGTTGTCGCCGAAACGTCGTGAGAATTTTATTATATTATGTTTTATTTTTTATTATGTTATTTTTTATTATTTTTTATTTCCCTTCTACGTGACTTTACCGAAAGAACCAAGAAGACGTGTTAATCATCATAGCGTGCACATCCCAATTTAACATTTGCTGTCATGCAGATGTGTCCCTAGCGACCCCCTGTGGCTCTACAGCGCATTACAACCCACAGAGTTCTAACTCCACCGCGTAAACCAACCAAGCGTTCGAAGTTAATAATTTGGTCATTTAAGGTACATTCAGTAAATTGTCAGCGCATTTGATGGCCTCAAGGCCACCGCGAAGTAAGACGCTGCTGTGTTTCACCGACGCGAATCTGCGGTGGTTTCACAGCAACGGAGGTTTTTTTTACATCATGGGACCTTCCCTTGTCGGTATCAAAATATAATAATAGGTTTTCTACCCTTATTGGCAAGAGAACAGTTGTGTTAAGATGTTAAAATGATCAGCACGAGACTAAAAGAACATCAGAGAAATATTAAATACTCACAAATACAACTATCAGCAATAGCAGAACACGCGTGCCAACAAGGACACTCAATTGATTTTGATGTTGAAGTTCTGTGCAAAACCAGCTACTACTGGCCAAGACTAATTACATAATCTATCGAAATTGAAATAAATAAACATTGTTTTAACCGTTCTGATAGCTACCGCCTTAGTGCTGCGTGGAAGCAAATAATCAAATCATAAATTGTTTAAATGCCTTTAAACAATGTTCACCTTTTGGTGTCCTCTGGTCTAACACTGTTTGAGACAAGGTTCTAAAGAAAGCTGTCTCTGGTGTGGACCAATCAGTTTCAAAGACAATGCATATACTATCATAGAGAATCGTCTTGGTTCTTTCGGTAAAGTCACGTAGAATTGAAATAATAAAATACGTGACTTTACCGAAAGAACCAAGAAGATGAATCCCTGCAGTCACGAAAGCTTTAAATCGAAAAATATCATAGAGCATGTTTTTGTTTGCATGTTCGCCACATGTATAAGTGGTGAATGCAGACAGGATTCCTTGCAAAAAGTTTCAGTTTGGTGTTTTAACATATTAACACAACTGTTTTATTGCTAGAAAGGGTAACAACTATTCTTATATAACGGGGTTTTTGTTTTGTTTACACATTTTTCTCCAACTTTTATTATTCTGTCGGTGCTACTGCAAAGTGTTCCGGCTGCTAACAATAATGACAGCTAGTTGATAATCGATTATCCATCCGGCTGCTTACAACATTATCCAAAGGCTGTGCCCAGTCCGGCTATCGGCACCGCGTGCGTGACAAAAAAAAAGTTGCTACGCTTGATTTCAGTGTTAAATATTATATGCAGTACATTATACACTACATACAACTTAAACACTGAAAATACTGCACTATATTGTATACATCAACCCATGATGCAGTCTTCTAGATTGGAGTGGTAAGCACGGTGCAGTAAATACTGCAACTTTTCTACAGTGATATTTTTAAAAATCTATTTGTATTTTCTTGGTTCTTTCGGTAAAGTCATGTAGAAGGGAAATAATAAAGTAATAAAAATAATAATAATATAATGTAATAAAATAATAAAATATAATAATAGAATACATTTAATGTTTTATTTTATTATTTTATTATATCCCTTCTACGTGACTTTACCGAAAGAACCAAGAAGATGAATCCCTGCAGTCACGAAAGCTTTCAATCGAAATCTATTTGTTATGTTTATTTATGCAAATTTGACATAGTAAACCAATGTAAAACACGAAAAAACCCGTAAAACAATACCCCAAAAACCTAATGTCATACGTAATTTAAAACACAAAAAACCCATACAACAATACCCAAAAACCTAATGTCATACGTATTTTAAATAACGACGTAGTGATTATCCGGCGTGTTTTAAAAATCTGGCGCCCACCGAATAATCGATTATCCACTGTTGACCACGTGCACCGCTTACACGTGGCCTCATCTTCCCTCCCATGCCGCACGTCTCGCCGGACCCACGCAGATGCATTCACTGGCGCTCCTTCTCCTCCTGTCCCTCGTCGCCTTCACCTCGCCGGAGGCCGTGGGTTCCCCGCAGTCTCCCGACGTCACCCGGACCTCGTCAACCCTCTGCAAGGCTCGCAAGATGCCCTCCGCGGGTGCGTGCGACAGCGAGATACTCCTGTCCGGAGAGCTGGGCGGAGAAAACCTGCGAGCCGTCTCACCGAGCCTCCCCGATCACTACTGGGAGGGCGAAGGCTGCCGTATCCTGTGCTTCTGCGGGGCTGGGGAGCTGATGTGCTGCCCCAGGTAAGGATGATTTAGATTGCGTACAAGTGGCGGAGGGAGTGGGGCTTGGGTTTCAGGTGTGCAGGCTGTGCAACTGCACCCGGGGGAGTCTCACTTTGAATCGACGTCACAGGTGACCGAGGAAGAGGGGTGTGGTCTTGGTGGAGGTTTCCCACCTTCAAAAGGCAGCACGTGGAGGCGTTCACCATTCTTTCGAAGGGCTCAAAGTACAGTGGTCACTCGGTTTACGATGCTATCGAGTCACGATATTCCGATTCATGATCCGCCTTCCATATGGTCCAATTGTTTCTATTAACGATACATGTTCGATTAACGATGTGTTTGCGATATCACGCGGCCGCTAATTTCGGCCAATCGGAGCGCTCCGAAGTGAACTCGGAAGACCTCAGCCAACCAGCGACGTCCTTTTAATCGACCACGAATAAAATAGTTGAATTCGTTTTAGTTAATTAATCTACATAGTTGACTAATCCTCCCCAGCTGTAGATCTGTCAGGCAGCGATGGAGAGTAATGGTGGAATCGCTAGTACCGGCCGTGATGACCTCCTGACCTCGTGCCACCATCCAGAATTAAGATTCATTCCACTCCATACGACTCTCCAACGCAGTGACCAGCACTTGCGTAATCGATTGTTTGGGAGATGAGATTGGTGGATCATGCAAGGATCCATTATTTGAATGAGACTCCGACACAGCTGAAGGCAGTACAAGTAGGCTGTTGACTTATATGTACAGATGTTTTGAATTGTATCCTTTCACAAGTGTGCGTTTTCCCAGCGTACTTTGGTATTCTCTCAAACACAAACCACTCATTCGACAAACATGTTGCAGGACTTTTCTGACAGAGCCTCGAGGCTCAGTGAAGCTTTCTGGCAAACACGACTTGTTTCTGTATATGTATTGGAATAACAATGACAATCATTGGGCCATCGGGCCGCATTGGCCAAATATTAATCGGATACGGTGGTGAGGTGACCAGCTGGGTCAGAGGTCAGAACTCTGAGCTGGCATCAGAGTGAGGTGCTGGACTCGATTCCAGGCAGCATATCCTGTAATCAAATCAGGTTCTTAAGTGCAGCGAGTGGATGGTATAAGCCTGGTCACCAATGACTGCACAAAAAAATACCAACACATTACATTTGGTTCTGCGCTTAATTCGCCAAAAAAATCCAGCTCGGAGAATTAACAAAATAAGTGGATTGTCTTGCCATGCAACGGATCTCACTCTCCTCTGCAGGGCACGTACGGAGTGCTGCTCTCTGTGCGTGGATTACGTGTCACTTGAAGGGATCTCAGAAGTAACTCTGTGATATCCACTTCTGTGGGCCATTCTCCAGCACGGACTGCAGTGTTTTGCGCGAGGTCCGATTGGATATTTCGTGTCATAACGTGATGTCAAGTGTACAATTGGGTTAATACTGGCGAAAAAATTATGGGAAAAAATGCATGGGGTGGAAACCGGTATCTGGATGCCCCTAATTATTGTAATTGAATAATTGCTACCATCCTACCCGTAGGGAGGTGTTCTTCGATCCGACGGTGCTACCTTACATCCCGTGCGACTCCCCCATCAAAACCAAAGATTGAAACTCAGAGGATGGATGCTGGGCAAGCCGCAGTCCAACTTCAAGCAGCATGAACTCATTCACCAAACTACACCAGTCACTCATCAAGTAAGTTCACTCGACTTCTTTAGAAACTCATTAACTCATATAGGAATTCACTCGATCGACAAGCAACTCACTTAATTTCTTGATATATTCACTGCACCAGTCACTCAACAGTTGAATTAGCATACTAAGCAACTCAGGAAGGAACTCACTCAACAATAAGCTCACTTCATTAAGTGAACAGATCACTCAGCAAGTCAATTAACTTGCTTCGCAACTCACCCCATACACTCATTCACTTAACTAATTTATCAACTCACTCATTCAAATAATCTGCTCAACACCTCACTTCATCGATTAGCAACTCATTTGTGAACTTACTCGCCACTCGATTTCCATTCATCTAGCATCTCACAAAATGCCTCATCAACAGACGGAACAACTCCCTGATTTTTATGGACTCAATCAGTCTACTTCATGTCCCTATTCTGGAAGAGGAAGGTTTGTGTATTACATTCATCTTGCTATTAATTTGAGGCAATGACTAAATTAATTCCCGCTGAATTAAAGCAGCGGCACATTTTTGACTAATCCCAGTAAAATATAAATGGCACAGGTGACAAGTGGTCAATTAAAGACGATTAAGGGAGACAATATTACCTTCGGTTGGGCAGGTACAATTAATTTGTGGCATTAATGTAACGCTTATAATATAATTAAGGTTAGGCACCGGTTGTAATATATTATCACCGAGTAGCACAGAAAACAAGACATTGTGTAAACTATAACTTTGGTTCACAATTAGTGTATTCATTAGAATAACTTATTCCAATATATATTTTAAAGAAAAGGATGGATAAAAAAACATATACCTCCTTAAATGTTTTTTTTTCCCAGCCAAAGACAATCACAAATACGTTCATCTTTTGTTTTTCAAAGAGGTACACAAATAATGGAAACGTTTTTTAAATCCGTGTAGGTGGAGGAATGTTTAATCAGAATCTGTTTTTAAACTGATACTCGATTTCTTGCTCAATTCGAAACCCAGGACGATGGCTACTCTGCCGAAGCTTTAATCCTCCCGAATCCAAAACATTCTGGGTTATCACGCAGATCCCATCGATCCTGTCATTCGTAACAGATTCAACTGGGGCACAGGTGGTGGTGCCTTATGGGCTTATTAATCACAACATACCTTTGTGTGACATAGTAGCGTTGCTTCAGTGTGCCTAACAAGATGTCTAACAAATAGCATGGAATTCATCAGCTGTTAAAAACAGGTGCGCGTTTCACAATCCACGCAATGTTTTTATTTGCTAGTTTACCTTCAATAATTTGCATATTCGTTTACCGTACATTAACTGCAGTGACTATATTGGTATGTAACGCAAGTTGCACTGTGTGATTTAGTTTGTGTAGTTTGTTGTCCTTTCCCTGTACCTCCGATTGGCACTGTTGGCTACGTACGGTGCGAAAGAAGTTCAACAAACATATACGATACGTTTTAAGAGATCGAGAGGAGATGAATACAGTGGGATTCCTTTACCCAGCGGTGGGAAGTGAAAGGCTAAGACAACACTCTGTAATGCAATGTATTAAAACATTTGTAAGCTCCATTGTGTTGCGTTTACATTTCTTTAGATCTATATCGATTTCAAGTTGTCATTTTTTTTCTGATGTTGACCACGCCGCCACCGCTGCAACACGGCTTTTATTTGTCGGCTGAGTTGATCGGGGGAGAAGGCTTGCTCTGTGTTCAAACACCGTTTGCAAATGATTTTAATAATTGGTCAGAAATTCAACCCCAGGTCACCAAAATCAAAGTGCAGTCTGAACAACGTACACACCGATGCCATCCCATTGTTTTTTTTGTTCAAATCAAAGCACATCGCTCACTCCTCTCATCTGCAATGTGCACAGCTGCCTCAATGCAGAATATTTTTTGTTATTCCAATTCCTCCCAGAGCTCAGCTTTTATCCATCTTTCGAACTTCAAATTACTTTATTGATTTCAAAACATTTCATCTACTCTCACGTACTCTTCTTACTCGAGCCATGTTATTGGACACTTTACTTTAATAAAAATACATACATGAAAGCGATTTAAAACTTGTCTTTATTTTGTAGTTGGGAAGCAAATGTACACGTCATTTTTTTTTCAATAAAAGCTTTGGTGAACACGTAAAAAAAAAAATCTGTGGTTAAGTGACGACTCTCGATGGCTCTGCAAACGTGATGCAGGCCAACGAGAGCGGTCAAGGCGCAAACCGCAAATTAAATATGGGTCAAATGCACGTAACGTTCATATAAAGCTCGACACTTACACTTTACATCTGCGAAAGTTTTTTTTTCCTATTTACCTTGCTTTTTCTTACTAAATTAATTTATTACATTTTCTCTTTCATCACGTAAAAAAAAGTAAAAAAAATTCATGTCGCTTTTTTTTTCATAACCCAAAACTTCAATTACATTTGTATCCAGTAAAGGCTTTCAGTTTGGTAGTTAAAAACCACACGAAACCTGCCGACCTCTTCATCTCCAGTGCTTGTGTTTTCGGTGGACGGACAGAAAAACGTACGGCTCGGACCGCCCACCTGTTATTTCCGTCCGCCAACAATAGCACCCAGAAACACAGCAAAACGCATCCTGGCAGTTGCGTGTTGTCTTCAGCCTTCGCACGCGACAAACGGTGTGGAAGATTTTCGGTGACGCCGAGATACACCATAAAATGCCACCACACCGCTGGAACATGGAATTTCTACCACTTGACTAAATAAACGAGCTTTAAAAATGAGATGACCACCCCCCAATGGTCAAAAGAGCAGGGAGGGGGGTGGGGTCATTAACAGGCCCAAAAAAAAGCAAACATCCTTTTAAACCGGGCATAAAAAACTGTAAATGTTTAAAATGTTAAAAGAGTATGATATTACTCAGTCAGAGGTCTTGTGATTGGTGGAAAAAGTGAGTTTGCTCATTAAGCCCGTGTGTACGCAGGTTCTCTCGTGTCAGTGTCTTGACTAGTTCTCACGCAAAGATGCATTTGTCGGAACTCGCCAATCGGCAAGCTTCACGAACAAATGCGATCAATCCTACGGCACAAAACACGTTAAGCTCCCCAATCTTACTTTGTTGGGAGCCAAACGCAGACTTTGCGGGGATTCGTTTGTTTGCTGCCAGGATGCATTTTTCCAAGGCCTTCACTGGGGGTCGGCATGAATTTATTTTCGCACCTCTGAATGTGGCCAACGCTGACAACCGTTGGTGCCAGATTGCCAGAAGGGACGCCTAGAAGCGCCAAGTGCCGAGTAGGAAAGCGCTCAACTCGGACCGGCGAGTCAACAACGTGCCGGGGCCAATCGCAACGAAGGCATCCTCGTGCCTCAGCGTCTTTGCCGACTGCACGCCGAGTGCAAGAGATTGGAGAGACTTCAAAAATAACAACCACGTTTCGTCAACCCGCTGACGGCGTAAGGTGTCTTACGTTCACAAAAAAAACTGATCAATGGGATACGATGGGAGCAGCAAACTCGGCACATGCACTATGTTCAGCCGAGTCCCTGATCGCCCCCCCCCACCCCAACCTCCAAGAAAAAAATGACCTCCCCATTAATTGGCGATCTCAGTACGAGCACTGGCCACACTTAATGGCGTTGCCAACGCGCGTGTGGCATTGGTGGAGGTTGACTCCACGTTCACGGAGCAACAAGCGGGAACCCACGTGCGTGACCTCCGCACTCGTGGCACTCGCGACCCCCGTGGTGTGAAGTAGGGGAATGGAAGGAGAGTACACACAGGGCCGCAGGTGCCGCGTGTTTCCGTGCGGTCGGTCGGGCGTGTGCGCGAGGCTCAGTGTACGTGCGTGTGGGCGATGCGGATTCGGGGTTCGGGTGGGACTACCCTTCGATGGGGGCGGAGAGAGGGGTTGACCTCTATCCGGTGACCGTTTCCGGCTTCTGGTCCAGCTTGCTCTTGTTGTTCTTGACCATGTAGATGAAGTAGGTGAGCGTGTCCTTCTCGCTCACGGGTATGGTCCGGAAGTGGCGGCTGATTGTCTGCAACATAGCAAACGCAAGTCGGCGCCGTCAACTCGATCATTTACGCAGCTGTAGTGAAGCCCAACTCTCAATAATATGAATCGTGACATAATTGTCAAGTAAAAATAATTATTTTCTTAAAACAGCAAAGCATCACGGTTTCATGACAAAGTGTGTTATTTTTCAGAAGGGTTCTGCTGCAGACCAATCTCTTATATCAGTATTTTAAACAGACAGGATGACACCAAAGTGCTCACATAAAACCCAGGACTGCCTGCAAGAAAGAGAACACTGAAAATGTTACGCAGGTAGGTCAACAACCAACTTGCTGTGCTGTCTTCTGCATGCATACTCTTCAGGGCAGACGAGTGACATGCACACATTCTCTCTCCGAGATCTACCAAAGCCCCTTCAATTCGATGGATTACAGCCACGCGGTGACACCAACTACACCCGGCTAAATTTGGTGCCTTGGGAGTCTTAATTTTAATCTTCAACATCCCATCTGTTGAATAGCACGCTCGAGTCGTAAACATCGCCGCCACCCTTTGCTGGAAAAGGCGTCACGTTTTCTTTGCCGCATAAGGCAGAGACGTAGCCTATTTATCCGTCCCCTGGTAAGACCAACCCCCGCCCGGCTGCCTCCGTCTGCCCTTCAGAACGGATGTGCGATCTCATTACCGCTCAACGTGTGCACGTTGCTAATGCGTATCAAGTCCCCCGCTCGCTTGAACGATGACGGGCCACGTCTGGAAAACCGGGCGAGACCGGCTTGCAAAAATGACGTATTGTCTTCATCAACACCGAGCGGCTCACGCTCAATTCAAAGCCGTGCCATTTTTATTTAAAACAAAGACGGAAAGATTTTGCATACAATAAACACTACTACACTGTATAAAAATACATTTTACACGGACTTCTGTCCTCCTCTCTCAGCCTTTGATTCCCCGGTGGAATGGTACACAAAATAGCGCGACTGGATTACGCATCAAAGACTGCAGAATGGCACAGCCAATAATGTTTTAAGCCGCAAATTGTACGCCCATGTGCACATGCCGCAACAATAAATGGAGAATACCCGCCAATGGCGATCCCGACTCGCCGAAGGAGGACCTAATAACGCATGACAATGAGCTTGTGGGCGCGCACGCACACAATTGTATGCGTCCGCATGCAGCACTGCCCACTTCCATCCATCACGGGCATGGGAGAGTAAAGCCGCAGCCTCCGCTTCCTCCCACAGCCGCCAGAATGTGTCACAGCAACCTGCAAATCCCTTGAAATCCGTTGGCTAACCCGCCCCTGCCCATCCTCTGTGTGCCACTCGTGTGCATCCATTACCTAATTCCTTCACAATACACCGACGCCTCCTTTGAAACTGCTTTTCATCCTCTCTCGCCATTGCCCGCACGCCAATTGATATTTTCTCGCCCGCAGCAACGGATTGCAACGAAGCTGGTGCCATATTACCCCAGTATACGTGGCGTTGTTCCAGAATGAGAATTAAGGTGGTGTCTCTTGTGCACAGCACTCGCCCAGTATGACACCGCATCTCCCCCATTGTGCCTTTTTTGTTTCTCTATGCGAACGAGACAGCTTGCCAGAAATACGGAGGCACTCTGCCCTCTCTGCTAGAAAAAAAAACTTATGGTAACTGTTACTATGAATCCTGCTCAGATTGTGCGAAACGGTTGTAAAAACCCTAAACGTGTATCGTGTCCCCTTTAGGAAGCAGTGACCCCATTCACGCAGCCTTGTCTGGTCATGACCCGACACTCCATTGCACACACCCCTTTAGCTAAAGCTGCACCCAGCTTTAGCCGAGATGGGTGCTGTGTAGTTGCAGTCTGTGTATGCGGACAGCGTTGTTGCGCCCGGTATGGATTTTGTGCATGCGTGTGGATGTGCGAGTGCACCTAGTGCATACTGAGGAGCGGTGGCGCAGCAGTTAGCGTACTGCACGACGAAAACAGCAAGCGGAGTTCTATTTTCGCTCATGGTCAACACCAGTGACGATTATCTGAGCTGGTCCTAGGCTCCCCGAGGTCGACCTCAGCCTCAAATGAGAACCTGGTGCGGCGTTTAAACATCGCCACTAGGGAAACATAGGCGGGCATGTGTGGTGCTGGCCACCTACACCCTCATGTGCCCTGCCGGCCTTGATAGACGCTTGCTAAGATCACTTGCCCCAAAAGTATGTTAGCTATACAGGGGACCTTTGCCGTTGCACCGAGCCCAGCACAAACACTGTGGTGACATCACTGCGAAATGCAGCAGCTGCTGCTGCTGCTGTTGTTGTATGCATGTGGGGAGCAGTGGCACATTGGTTTGTGTGTTGCACTTTAACCGAGATGACCTGGGTTTGATCCTCATCCAAGGAAAAACACCCGAGGCAATGAATGAGCATCTGAACCTGTCGTAGGCCTCACATAGGCCAACCGAAAACCTGGGTGCAAGGTGCAAAATATCAGCAATGGGGGGGGGGGGGAGAGAAAAATGGCCAAGCAAGATGTGAACCTAGCCAACCATCTCGCGTGCAGCGCCGGACGTTAAGAGATGCCTGTTTACAGCACTTGTCTCTACACAAAAAGGTACGGGAGGTGTGCCAGCCCAGATATTTCTTGCTCGTGCCATTTCCTGGAGAAAGGGGCTTCCCAGGAGAGGGAGCTCCCGAGGACCTTTCTCTACCACGCTGGCCAGATGTCTTGGAAGCGGCAACACCCACACACACACCTTAATCATCCCAGCGCGCGTGACCTGCTTATCGACTAATTGTGGTGAACCCATTAATGCTGCTGGGTGGGTAGAGGTGGGGAGATTTAAAAAAAAATTCACATTGTTCCAGCTGCTGTGGGGGAGAGTTAAACAGCGCCCTCGATATTACACCATAGCAGCAGTCTGTGGCTATATACCACTGCATATGGATAAATGGGGGATCTTTGTGTATACATCTTCAGCTTGTACAGTCAATAACTGTATAGAGGCATAAAAGGGGATCTGTATAGAGGGGTACTGGGTGATGAATAGTGTGTTTAGAGAGGTACTAGGTGATGAGCAGTGTGTGTATAGAGGGGTAATGTGTTGCCAAGTCCGAGGTACTTGCCGAGTGTATAGAAAAACTGATGGTTCTTGTGCATGCTACATGTGTGTGTGTTTGTATAGGAGAATTTCTGGTTCCTCTGTAGTCTATTGTGGATCCCGTGTGTCCGGCGGGTGCCAAGAGCTGCTGCCGATTCCAGCGTACTCAACGTGCGTAGTGCCTCACCTCCGCCAGCTGTGCCTTGTTGAGGCCTGGCCTTGTCTGCAGTTTGTAGTGCCGCTTGTACCGCCTCAGAGTGTTCACTTGCAGCTGAAACAAATCCACCTGGCACAGACACGAGGCACACACATCATTCAATATGCCATCAATAGGACTGTCACACTCGTGATGGGCCAATTGCTCAAGAGCTCACATCATGCCATTACTAAACAAAGTAAAAAAAAACAGGATTCAAATTTGGTTTGTTAACTTAATTCAGCGTATTTCATTTCCGGTAATTACAACTGTCAGTTTTATTTGCATCACACGTGCCGAAACACTCTTTACAGGGAACATGAAAGCTGTGCCCGGAGAGTTGATAAAGAAGCAAACTTCAGTAGTTGTAAAATCAACTTTTGTGGCCAGTATCTAATCGTTCCAAGTGAAATCTTGTCTCATTACAGAAAACTGCAACAGCACAACTACAATATAACAACTGATTAAACACAGAATAATGCATATTCTTGGGTCTTTCGGTAAAGTCACGTAGATAGGTTCAAAGAAAATAAATTTTGCCCCCTCACGCGCATGATGTTTAAGAGGAATCAACTGCAACTCTGAAACGTGACATTTCATCAAATTGCAGGAGGTGGGTGGGGAGATGGGGTTTGGACCCCTCGGAATGCAAGTAATACTCTGTGCATACCCACCCCCTAACAAACTTAGCGTTTGTCACAGTGCTCTCCACAACTGGAAAAAAAAAGTTGGGTGGAAGGCACAAAAGAGTGTGCCATCAGATGAAAAAAAACAAGGCACTTCGAAGGAAGGCATCTTGAAAAAAAAAACCACCAAGTGAAAAGCCACAAAAAAAAACGAAGAGCACAGTGAAAAACAAGAAGTAAAACCAGGATCCCAGAAACTCCATATTTTGCATTAACTCTAACTCTTATTAATTGCAACTTTAATCGTGTCGTTTGTTGCCGTATGCTTGGCAAACTGGGCCTCAGGGTCTGCGTTCAGCAACCGTGACATCATGCTATCACAAGCTCATAATACGTTCGAAAAAAGTTCTGGCTGGCCTCCTGCCTGGATTCCTGTCTGCCTGGCTGATGCGCAAATGCGTTTGTGCGGCAGTGACGTCACCGTGTGCACGCCACCTGCATCCCACAGCGCTGCGCTGGGCTCGTGCGTAGCTTTGACACCACGCCTCCCTCCCTTACCCACCATCCACCCCGGTCATGGATCCCACGCACAATTGCACAGACAGTGCTAGTTTATATATATATGTAAAAAAACAATCCACATGAAGGAGAATGATTCATGAAGTCAGCTGCCTACTCAGTGTAACCGGTCCGCCCTATCCCTCTCCTTCCGTGATCGTTACGAGGGGACAGGCCGGTTAACAAGTAAAAACAACAACATTAGTTGATGAGTTCAGAGGTGATCAGTGGATACTCTGCGTTGTATTCTGCCCTCCTGAGAATCGGATGACTCCACCACCAAGGGACACCAGAGGGTTGTGTAACTGCAACTCTTTATTTCAAAGTGTTCTTCTGAGGAGCATTTGTGCATCTGTAATTATGACCAGATGCACACCAATCAATCCCAATTCACACCACCCCAATGCTCAACCCCCGTACTGTAGTGTCCACCCGAATCTGAATAGGTGCCCTATACCCTGAATTGATTACGCTACTGGTGGGCGTAGCCTACTGTGCACTCACGTGACTGTGGGTCCAATCACAATTATACTTGTGGTTCAATTTCGATTTAAAGCTTTCGTAACTGCAGGGATTCATCTTCTTGGTTCTTTCGAATGAGATTCAGACGCTGTCTTTCCGACAGCCCTGTTATTCACCCGAGGACGGCTGCTTGCGTTGTGGCCGAAACGTCGTGAGAATTGTATTCTATTATGTAACATTTTTATTATTTTATTATTTCCCTTCTACGTGACTTTACCGAAAGAACCAAGAAGATACTTGTGGTTCATTTACATTAAGCCCATACCGGCTACATCAGCATGGTAACAATTATTCTTGACAAAAATACGATGAATTGTCACAATTCATGGTTGCAATATGACTCAAGAAACGAATAATCGTTTTGGCTCATTTTCACCATTTTGTTTGTGTTGTGCATTGCTTTATCTAGCTAGTTTGTACGTTAGTCTTTTCTCCATTAATCTAAATATTAAATGACCATATATGTTGGGCATTTTACATTGTACTAATTGTAAATGTATTCTTTCACACGTGATTCAATGCATGCAATGTGAATGTAAGAATGTAATTTTAATTGACGACTGGATGCATTGTTACATGCCCACTGTCTACCCTCCAATCACAAAAGCAGAGCACAGCAGAGACGGGTAAATAAAATCACAAAATCCATCACCATTGAGATTAATGCTACATTTTAAGAGCAAAAAACATAGCAAGCTAAAATGTATTGCCACTATATATGTTTCTCTTCTTGGTTCTTTCGGTAAAGTCACGTAGAAGGGAAGTAATAAAATAATAACAATTTTACATAATAATATAATAACATAATATAATAACATACTAACTTTACCAAAAGAACCAAGAAGATGAATCCCTGCAGTCACGAAAGCTTTAAATCGAAAAATGTATGTTTCTGTTATGAGGCAGCGAGTTTTTATTTAATTTAAATTCGGGTTGTGCACCACTGATAACGATTCCTTTATAAGTCTATACTGGTGGCGCACAATGCTTTCTAGCCACTTTGGAGGGCAAGGATTGGTGACTCGTGTAGAGATTGGTGGAAACTCCCAAAGCCAATGGGTTGCACAGTGACCAGAAGACAGTATACACCAATTGGGAGCATTATCTCCACGGTATGCGTGAGTTTTTGCTGGTTACTCTGAAGCCTCGCTAACACTTGGATCAAAGACTGCCTGAGAATACCAGGTGTTGTAGGCTTGAGCTGCAAGGCGACAGTAAAACAATGTACTCTCGAGCCTATGCAGAAGGTGCGTGGTTTTTTGTCTACTCCGGTTTCCTCCCGCACGAAGCAAAAGACTCCTTTAAATAAGGTACTGGCCAAACATCACAATGCAGTTCTGATTAAGGGAGTCAACGATCACGGAGGCTTCCCCGCACAAAAAAGATTACACTATCCTTATTGGTAACATGAAATGGTAAAAAACGAGTTGTCCTGCACGAAAGTATAAGCCCCCACCTTGCCTCCCGTACGATCCTCCCCGGTCTCCCCCAGGAACAAGTTCTTTCACTTCCTACCGCCCTGGTGACTAAACCCAACTCCAACAACACTCCCCGCCGTGGATCACCGCCTCTGCTCACCTCGGGTGACTCCAAATCATGGTCGGGCGAGTCTCCTCCTTCGTCATCACTGCCTTTGCGCTTCCTCTTGTTGCGCACGCTCTGGATGTAGTTCTTGTGGAAGTCGCAGATGTACAAGTGCCGCACCTTGTCCAGCAAGGCAAAAAAGGTGAAAAAATATAAGAACGTGAAATGAATTGGTTATGGGGGCACTCATCGCTCGCGAGTTATTGTGCGTCATTGCCGAATGTGGTTGCCGTTTTTGGTAACGTTTCATCACCTGAAAGCATTGGTAGAAAAATGTTATTATAATTATTCATGCTCGTTACCTAGGATTAACACCGTTGGCTACATGCGGTACAAAAGAAGTTCAAAATACATACGCAGAAATGTCTCACTGAGGCTTGTGACTCTTTTCATCATCATCCTGCCAAGTTTTCGCATGAGGGGGCAATTATTTCTACGTATATTTCAATTACATAATTGGTGGATTATTGTTCCAATTTGGATATCGACAAATGTGTTACGGAATTTCACAAACGCTCAGCAACAAAAACAGGCAGGGCAAGAACGACTGGGACTGAACGCCATTAATCTCTGGCATACAACAACCACCATCACTGCAAGATAGAAGAGCATATTTAAGAGACATGAAGCTATGAGTGACGACCTTCCCGGCCTCTGCAACCGGTCACGGATATTAACGAAGCACACAAGCGGTCGGAATGAGAGCTCTTAAAACAACCTCTCATGGCACAACACAAATACAAAGATCCACCGTATAGCATTGACAGACTGTTGGGACAAGTGCTATTAGCGAGCACCTATGAAGGCCAACAAGGGACTCGAGGGGGGGGTGGTTGGCCAGCACCAAGCCCGACCGTCTTTGTCTCCCCAGTGCTGATGTTTACACACTACACCAGGTACTCACATATGTAAGTCTGAGTCGACCTACGGGAGGTCCAGAACCGGTTCAGATATTCATCACCGATGTTGGCCGTGGTGTGGGAATCGGACTGGGGAGCGAGAGGGGTCGCCGGGTTCGTAACGCAGTGCGCTAACCGCTGCGCCACCGCTCCTCACACGACACGGCCTGAAGTGACTGTGACCCATCCGGTTTGGCAAAGCTGGAGAACGAAAATAAATCTGTAAACATAGTAAAAAAAACCATGCACGATGGGACGCTCTGCATGCAACGCACGGGAGTACAGTACAAAGACAAATATCCGCCATATAGCCTTAACAGACTGCTGGGGCAAGTGCTGTTGGCAAGCACCTATGAAGCCTGGAACAGCACACGAGGGTGTGGGTGGCCAGCACCATGCCCGGCCGCCTTTGTCTCCCTAGTGGCGATGTTTACACATCACACCAGGTACTCACTTGAGGCTGAGTCGACCTAGGGGAGGCCCAGGACCGGTTCAGATAATCTCGTCACTGGTGTTGGTGGCCCTGAGCAGGAATGGAACTCGGGTCGCCGGGTTCGTAGCACAGCGCGCTAACCGCTCCACGACAGCTGGAAACCTACTAAAGCCATGCCCCATGGCAGCCCTGCATGCAAAGGCGTGCAAAGACAAAGATCCCCCGCATAGCCTTAACAGACTGTTGGGGCAAGTGCTGTTAGCGAGTACAATAGCATCTATGAAGGCCGGCACGACACATATGGGTGGTCAGCATCACGCCCGGCCGCGTTTGTCTCCCGAGCGGCGATGTTTACAGGACACACACACACGTGCACCACCGCAACACTCTGTCCCGACGGCATTGCAACTGGGCTGTGCTTCTGCAGCATCAGCAGCAGGGTCATGACACGGTCGGGTACACAATGGCTGAGGCTCAGGCACTCGGGTAAAAAGAAGGCACGCGAACTTGATCTCGGGTTGCCATGGTGGGCCCAGCAGGAATGTAACCGCCCACAGTTTTTTGGTGGCGAGGCCTGCCTGCCTTGCCTGCCCTCTTCTAAAAAAAAAGAAGAAACTGCCTACTACTACTACACACACCCCATCCCCCGGTATGGGCCCTTCCTACCCTTTGGCGAGCACACTCACACACAGAGCCGGCGATTGTGCCTAGTGGCGCCATTCACTCGCTGTAAAATAAAAAAAAATGCGTAGCCTGGTGTGCGGGGTATTCTTTTTTGTTCGCCTGCCCTTTGTTAAAACTTTTTGTTGTTGCTGATGCTGTTACGATGGATTTTCTCGTCACTTTGCAGATTTCATTTTCGTTAGAAAGTGAGTTGAGTTCCACCGCAAACGGGGGCCCCGGACTTCAACGCAGTACACGAAGCAGCGCTAATGGAACATGATTTGAGCTTTTGACGCGCAAGCCGTTGCATTTTTAAGCAAAGCACAAATCGGTGGACGCGGGCAGATAGATGCTGCACGGGCAGCAGGATACACGGGCACAGGCAGCTGAGATTAATGCAGGAACTAAGGTTCCCATTACCACTAACAGCGTCAACTAAGTGCCCTATTTTTGTTTATTGGCTGGGCTTTAGGAGCACAACGTGAAATGGGTAATCTTTTATATTGGCAACAGCATCGATGTTTTACGGCAAGGAGCTCGCTCGCAGTCTGTTAGTGCCAGAATATTTTCTACTGTACATACTTAGCTTGATACAAGTTATTATTTTGATGACTAAAACTACATGTGTACGCTCTAAATTCCTAACGAAAACAGTCCAGTTTGATCAGCCTATTATCAATAGCCCTGACAATAGCAGTCCAGTTTGATCAGCTTATTATGAAGAGCAATTGGATTTGTAGACACCGCTATAATAATAAAGCCCACATTTAATAGCTGATACACACGATACAACATCCGAGAAGATGGAGTGATGAAATAAACTCGTGTGCAGGTGCTAGGTGGAGTATATAGCTGCTCGCTAACAGCACTTGCCCCAACATCTGTTAAGGCAATAGGGTGGGTGATCTTTGTCTTTCTATCACAGCATTGAGATGATGGTTGCTGAAGGAAGCCTTCATCAAGCAGTGATGATGGAGAATTAAATTCAGTCCACAAATAAAGTCTGGCTGTTTGACAGACAATATCAAGAAGCACTGGCTTGCGATGTCTGGGTTGGTGGGGATGGTGCAAAAGGCATGGCCAGCTCAAGCACGAACCTTGCTGGTGTGCAAGACTCCCACCTGCTGGGCAAAGAGGTGATGCCTATACCAGTTCGCAAGTCAAATCGTTTTTTTTCCCAAAAGCTTCCAGCGTTCTCAACTAACGTGCGTGATTTTTTCTTTCTCCAGGCACTCCGAATTCTAATGTCGGAATCTCAATCCCTTAAAAAATACATTTTAAAACGATATAACACTTTGCCTTGAACAACAATACCGCCACACGATGACTGACATTTCTTTCTGTGCAAATCCACCCAGCGGGCAAGCCAGCCGCAACCACAGGGCGGTTGGTTGTGCTTGTAAAAGCCCTTTTGACAATTGCTGCCACATCAGCTCTTTTTTTCGAGTTCCTTTAATCTCAATCAATCGAATAAAAGTATGAACTCTTATCTGTTACACCTTCACTTGTGCAGTTTTGTTGCTGGCTGCTTGGCATTTTGGGGGGTGGGTTGCCTTTGTGCCTGTGCTCGGCAAGTGATAACAAAAAAAATCCACTGCTGGATGAGGGCCAGTCCCATGCCATTTAGGTCGTGGGTGTTATCTGACCATATTTCACACCATGCTGGTTCATGCGGGTGGCGTGAAAGCAGAGACCACAGACATAGTGAGGGAGATATTGCAAGGACACTCTGACGACCAAAGATATGAAAACATCACGCTTGCGTTATTATTTATATTATAATCATAACTTATTCACCCAGGAATACATGACTGACCACGTACGGTGCGAAAGAAGTTCACCACACTGTACATACGTTGCACGTTTTTAGCCAATGGGAAGAAACCGAACAACACAGAGCAAACCCATGCAGAACAGGAGGAAAACATACAAAAATACGCCGTGCGAGTCAGGAGTTAAACCCAGCTAATTCCTGTTCCGAGGCACAAGCGGTGATTACTGCACCACCCCTGCAACGTCTAACGATGGCAGCCCCCCTGGGTTGCACGACACTAGCGGGGGAAGTGTAGACTACCAGCCAAGTTGTTGTGCTGCAACGCGGCCCCATTGTGTAAGAGATGGGGCAGACACAGTGAGAGTTTTCTCTTTCTGGCTGTAAGTGCAGTAACCTGTACGGTGAGACAATCGGAGCACTGCACGGCTGACAGGCAGTTGCCGAGAGGACCAAGAACGTAGCAGAGACCGAAGCAAGGCCGTGTTCGACAGAAAAGGTGATGTCAAAAGCGAATTCGGTATGCACACAGTGCATGCAATATTCCATGCACGGCTATCATGCAATGCACCGGCAGAGATTAAGACCAACCTGCAATACACAACACAGCCTGTGCACACAAAACATCTGCAGTATACCACAAGGACTTAAAATGGCACGCACGGCTACAATACTGGCACATATACAAAAGGCCAAATTAAATGCAATGCAGACGATCTAAAACATTGTCAGATTTAAACTGTATTTATAATAAACGGCCCTTTGTTAATCCACTGCTGGATGAAAGCCTCCCGATGTCAAACGTGTAATGGAGGGGGGTGTTTGACCGACCATACTTCACCACACTGCTCAGTGTAGGTTGGTGAAGTGGGGGGGGGGGGGCAATGAATTATACATACACAGCACGGGGTGGCCTTAATCGGTGAGCATAAATGCACAATAATGTAACCAGATAGTAAAGCAGTTAACCAGCGGAACGTTCATTTGGCTATACTCTAAAATACTTTTAACAATAAACGACACAATGGCACTATCCCGATGAAGATACAGGTGCCCCCCAAGACGTCCCTGCGGAAGTGATAATGAATCTTAGTGGGCCCTTATACGAGTTAAATAAAAGGATGCCGATTTGTTTTCATATTCAGTACTAGTTCACAAAGCCTATCTTCCCCAGGCAAACGTTTTCAATAAATAAAATACTTAACCTGATATGATTGTTTACAATTTTTATCTACGATCGGACACAACTACTGCAAAAATTTATATTTTTCCGCAAAAAACACTAAAATTGTCGACGACTTGATTCAACTTATTATGTTTAAAGACGTCCCCAATCGGAAAATTCTCAATTTAAAGATTCCGTTCTTTTTTTATTAGAAAGAACAAACATTAACGAACTTAATACTCTGAGGGGATGATCCTATCTTTTAACGTTTTCGAATAATTAAGATTTGAACATCATAAAATGCGTATTTTTTCATTCAAAACCTGCTTGAATCCGAAATATCTCAAAAACAATAAAATATAGAATAGTTCGTCGTTTATGGGGTACTTAAAATCGAGATATGAGGGCCTTAAAAATTAAAAATCTCGGATTTTCAGATGTTTCCTGTTCTTTGAGCTTTCTACTTTGTCCGGAAGTACCCCAGATGGTTTGAGGAATACATCTAGATTAAGGTCTCTATTTAAAGATATGCAAAATCGTTGAACCTGAACAACTGTTTTTGATGAACATTATAGTCAATTAATTTAATGCGGTGATTAAACTATAGTATGCCGCTTTTTATATAATTTGGCAAAAAATGTCACTGCATTTCTTCCAAGTACACCGTTATTCAGTTTAGAAATATTCTAAACAAATATTTTTTTATAATAGGGTTTTCCCCTTTTTTCTGGCAACAAAACAGGTGTTAAGATGTTAAAACACCAAACTGAAACCTTTTACAAGGAATCATGTCTGCATTAACCACAATGCTTGTGGTCAGAATGCAAACAAAAAACATACTCTGATAATAAATGCATTGTCCTTGAAACTGATTGGTTCACACCAGAGGCAGCTTTCTTTGAGCCTCGTCTCAAACGGTGTTAGACCAGAGGACGCCAAAAGGTGAACAGCACAAAGACAATGCATCAAAAGGCAAGGGAGATCCCATGATGTAGCTGCTTTTTTATTTATTTTTGCACCTCAGAATAACTGTGGATCTTTGATAAGACTTTTTATCTATCATTTTACAATTTAAAGTAGTTGGTTAATTTTATAGCGTGATGCACAATTTTATATCCTCGTATTGTAAGCTAATCTTGCAATATTTTCCAAGGAATTTTAAAAGTTTAATACATCCTTATATATTGCTCATTCCTCTACACCATCCCAATTGTTTGTTTTTACTTTTTGCTCTCCATCCAGATGTCTCTTGCAGCAGAGCCTTGTGTTCACAATGCTCCCACCTATTCATTGCGCATCCTATGAAGGGATTATTCCCTTCTGGACTTAGGATGAACAGAATGATTTAATAAAGGATGAATGTTGTGTACATTTGTTATTGAAGGTAGGGACCCAATGAGGTTGTTGCTGTTTAAGTGGGAGACTTGCGATAAGTGGTGGCCTGATTTATTGACCAACAAATTCTAAGGCAAATGACCAGAGTGGTTTATTGAATGGCTCAATTATTTTAAGGAATGCTTAATTCATGGAATAACTGGACTATGGAATGACTAATGAATTAAATAATGCCACGACAGATTGACTGCTATATGCAATTACTGAATTAATTATGGATTGAATGATTTGTGGAATAGTTGATAGGATTAAGTTAGAAAACGCCTGATATATGGCATGTCTCATGGCTTGACTGAGCTGACGAATTTGACTCGCCGAGATATTATGGCCCACACGACCCATGGCACTGATTGAACCGACTGAATGAATTAATCTCACACGTGCGCGCACACACACACGCACACAAAGGCCCCAAGATATTCTCTCTCGCTGCCCGCCTTTGCACGTACAAGACTTACGCTGCGGTCAATGTCCAGCTTGAGCTTCTTCTGCGAGATGCTCTTCTGGATCCTCTTGCTGAAGCTCGCGTTGCCCGCCGGTCGCCCGCACCGCTCTCCGTCGTCGATGAGGCAACATGTCTGGCCCAAAGGCCCGTCGCGGCTGTCCTCCTCCGTGCTGAAGCCGTTCATCGCCCTACGGCCTCGCGTGTCCACCTGCAGCTTGCCGCCTGCGGAGTCCCGTTCAGTCCAGCTGAAGTTCCCGTCCGTCGTCCTGTTCACATCGTTCAACTTTTTATTATACGCACAAACCTGCACCGCATACCTGTCAGGTCCATATGGTATAAAGCCGTTTCAATAAGGGCAAACAAAAAATGTTGTCTATTTGTGTTTCTCCCTTGTGATGGGATTTGTAGGATTAATGTTGAGATTTATAAGGGCACGGGGTGACCAATAAGGTCTGTACTGGTCTCTAATAAGGTAGGGCATTGAGGGGTTGACAGGTATGTAATGGTGAGTGTAGTGGTGAGTGTACTAGTGGTGAGTGTACTATTGGTGAGTGTACTAGCGGTGAGTGTACTATTGGTGAGTGTACTATTGGTGAGTGTAGTGGTGAGTGTACTATTGGTGAGCGTACTAGTGGTGAGTGCACTAGTGGTGGTTGTCTACTTGTTTGTATTTCTCCTTTGTGATGGGAATTTGTAGGAAAAACATTGTGATTTATAAAAGGCACGGGATGACCAATAAGGTCTGAATTAGTCTCTAATAAGGTAGGGCACTGATAATGGGTTGACAGGTATGTACCGTAGTACCTCTCTGCTCGAGTGTTTGTTCACCTGCATGATTCACCTAACACGTCCACGTGTTTATTCTCAACTCTTCTCCCCCCCCATACCTCTTTAACCTTTATGCCCACCCCGATGTGCCTACCCACCTGTACACGAGTGCAACTCTTTGTCCTGCCCTCTCCCCAGTGCTGCGCTCTCCGCCCTGGTATCTACGTCCACGTGCATCTTCGAGCCGGTCTATCACCTACCCCACCACCTCCACCCGTCAGTCCACACAAATCGCTCTCGCCCTACCTACCTACTGGGTGTCTTCTTGTCCAGTCACCCACTAATGCATGTCCCCACCTGCCCCACACAGCCAGTCACCCACCCCTATCTCGACAGCAGCAGCCGATATAAACTCGGGACTAATTCGCTCTAGATTTGAAGCTTTCGTGACTGCAAGGATTCATACTCTTAGGTTTTTTTCGACAAAGTCACGTAGGTAAAAATAAGCAAATAATAAAATAATAGAAATAATATTATTTTATTTCAATTATTTATTTTATTATTTACTTATTTTTTCCTACGTGACTTCACCGAAAAAACCTAGGAGTACTAATTCGTCTACTTACCTACCCCGCTAGACTCGAGGGTTGCTTCTCAAAGCACGTGGCGGCACGCAGCAGCCCTCCCTCTCGGACCACCCGGTAGATGTTAGACAGCTGACGAAGGTTTCACGACAATCAATGCTGTGCTTTTACTAAGTTAGTAGCGTTTAGTCACCACACTTTGCCCGTAGATTATCTTTGTACCTTGACGTCTGAAGCTCTGTAAGGTTCGACGTTGCACTACGATTGTTGTTGTTGTTGTTGCAGCCTGCAAAGTGTCTTGCTTGCTTGCTATATCACATCCACGTTTGCCTTCCGGGCTACAGCTTTCAAATCGCCTCTTACTACTCCACTGCCCGTCGCTTTGTTGGCTATCTCCTGCAGATGTTGTGTTTGCTGTTCGTGTCGCTTACCGACCACAGCAGCAGCAGTCAATCCGCCGTCGTCGTCGCTTGCTCCTCGGCTGTCTCCGTTCGTCCTTCTTCTGCTTCTTTGCTCGTAAGACCACCAATGGCGAGTCCGGTCGACTGCTGTGTTCGTCGCCTCGCAAGTCGTCCTCTCTTCTCGAACACCTCGTTAGCTTATTTCACTCGCCCCGTACGTCGCCTGCTGTGTAAATGACGACCGCCGCTTTGCAGCTTGCTGCTGCTGATTGCTGTTGTTGTAGCTGCTGTTGTTGTAGCTGCTGTTGTAGCTTGTTTGGTAGCTGCTGCTGCTGCTTCTGCTGCTGCTTCTTCTTCTTCCAATCTCCCGCTGCCCCCCTGGTCACCACCTACCGACACCGCCTCCCGGCTCTCGCTCCACGGCCTTTTAAAAAGCGCGACCACCTCCACCACCCCGACTCTTCCCTCCGTGTGCACTCTGATGCCAGGCGGTGCTGTCTGTACCACTGCTGCTGTTTGTACGCTGCTGTTGTCTGTATGCTGCTGTCTATATCACTGCTGTCTGTATCACTGCTGCTGCTGTCTGCTGCTGCAAACTAACCCCCCACCACCCCCTGCTGCGTGCTGTGTACTGTACCGTGTCGCACACGCCGCGGTACAGTAGCGACACGGCTGTGTCTCTCCCTACACACACAGCCACGCGCTTTGTTCCGTTTGCACGGCCACCACCACCAACACCACCAACACCGACACCAACACCACCCCCCCCCCCAAGCCCCCCTGGCCCTTTCCGCTTCCACCCCACCAAGTAAAATTAATAGCAGCGGTGCAATAAAAGAACGGGCCGACTGCGCCGACGATGAAAAGCAAGGGGGGTGAGGATGAGCCAACAACGATGTGGTTGTTAATAGCTCTTGTTGTAAAGAACTGCTACTAACTAACTGCAGCCTGCTGCTACTAACTACAGCCTACTGCTGCTGCTACATGTGTCAGCGCATTCAACATGGCAGCGAGGGCCACGCCGGCTTCCTACCTCCTCCGCCCTCCTTAAAGCCACCACCACCCACCACCAACCCAACTACTAATAACTATAACAGCGGGACTGACGATTACAATACTACGAAGGTGTAACCCCGCCCGCCACCAAATAGCTGCAGAAGAAATGAACACGACAGCAAATCCCCACCACCATCAACGCCACAGATCTCACGGGTTGACGGGTTGACAGAAGTTGCACCCGCGGTGAAGTCGAGCCAACAACAACAACACAACAACAATGTTGCTCCCACCAACATCAACGTAATGACTCCCCACCCCGAGACTGACTAACTAACTACAGCACTCTCGATTCTGTCCGGCTGCTGCTGCTACCGCTAAAGAGAGGCGGGTGACTACCCAAAGCATCACCGCCGTGGAGAGGTGGGCACAGAACGCCGGCGTCTTGTTTGGATGTTGAAAGCCAAACCCACGAGACCCCCCGCCCCGCCCCTTACACCCCCCTACACCCCTCCCCTCCACACACCCCACTGCCCCTCCACCCCTCTCCTCCCTACACCCCACTCCCCCCTTCATCCCCCCCCTCCATGCACTCCACTCCCCCCTCCACCCCTCCCCTCCCTACACCCCATTCCCCCCTCCACCCCTCCCCTCCATATACCACACTTCCCCCTCCACCCCTCCCCTCCCTACACCCCTCCCCTCCCTACACCCCACTCCCCCCTCCACCCCTCCCCTCCATACACCCCTCCCCTCCCTACACCCCACTGCCCCCTCCACCCCTCCCCTCCCTACACCCCTCCTACTCACCAACCCCAAACGCCACTCGGGCCTGTCACGCGTCGAGGCGGGGCCTCGCGGGAAGTGGGCGGGGCCTCGCGGGAAATGGGCGGGGCCTCGTAGGAAGTGGGCGGGGCCTCGCATGAAGTGGGCGGGGCTTCACGGAAAGTGGGCGGGGCGTATTGATGCGAGCGACGATACGGGGCGTGATTGTTAACCAAATTTGAGATGCAAGGTTTGGCAAATAATAATTAATTAATTAGTCAGAATATTGTATTTATACTGGAGGAATCCGATGGGCTATGAGGCTGTTTTCCCACAGATGTTCAGTCGGGGCGGGTCAGAACGTTAACAGCAACGAACAATACAAAAATACGATAGGGAGTGCAAAGTGCACACAAGAAAGGTAAACAAATTACCCAAACGCATACAAATTAAATTAAACCATCCCCGTCCTAACCAGACAAAGCCCACTGAGGTATTAACGTATGAGTTCCTGCAGTCACGAAAGCTTCAAATCAAGATATGAACGTATTGTTCAAAAGTGACCTGGCCACAAATGATAGCTAAAAAAAATAAAACCCGTTATCAGGAATAATTCATATGGAATTTTTTTACATTAACAAAATTCAATGAATTCGTCAGTTATCAAGGTTTTATTTGTTATTTGTGTGTATCACAGTGGACTCACTCTCCCAACTCTTTCCCCAATAATTGTGGCCTTAAAGTAAAACAAAATATATACTGTAACAGGCGACGTTTCAGGCAATGGCCCTTGATCATAGCTCATGACGTTGCGCTTGTGTGCACCACTGCCAAAGCAACATCAACACATATGTGCTATGAAAAAGGGCCAATGTCTGAAACGTCGTCCGTTTTTATTTCCCCCCCAGTGTTGTTTATAAGCCCTTCGTTATCTGTGCCCTCTGTTCACTAGCCAATCAGAACACGAAGAGAGAGGGGGGGGCGGTGCTTAATTAAAAGAAGGCGGGGCTAATATCCAACCCCCCCCGCCGCCCCCCCCCCTTGCGTGACGCGCCTTGGCCCCGCCCACCCGGCGCGAGGCGAAGGGTGCGCGTTGGAAACGCGTCAAGAGGGAGGGGGGGGAAGCGCGCGGCGAAGCCCCCCCCGATCGCCCATTGGCTGACCGTCGATGACGTCACCAGGGCGACGACCAATCGGATTTGAATTTGGACGCGCCAACTCGAGAGTGCGGAATGGGGGGCCCAATTTCCCCCACGGTCTCGTCGCCTGCGGGGGCCGGAATCGGCGGCACGCGCCTCCGCAGGCGTCGCACTCGCAGCCGGCGATGCGCCGAAGCTCGAGGCGATTGCCGTTTTCTCGGTGCAAAGCGAAATACGTGGTGCATGTGACCAACCGGGGCATATATTCTGCACGAAAGTCGTCCCAGCGGCGTTAATCGGCGCCCCATAAATAATCTCGCATGACACATCCCTAGCCCTGAGCGCGGTGCACGCAATAAGCGCCCCACTATAGCGCGCCTCGCACAACGTATAAGCACTACTACGGTGTCAATGGGGGCTCTACGGCTTAAAAGCGAATCTCCCGCGCTTTTCTCTCAGCGCCGCATAAATTAGCGCTCGACCAATCGGGCGCCGTCTTTATGCGTTTGGACGGGGAACCTCTGGCCAATCAGGAGGCGCCTCTCATTGGCGCGCGCTGACGCCAGCCAATAGAAATCGCCGTCTCATCGCCCCCTCAGCCTCCCATTCTCCAGCGTTACGGCGAGGTGCACAGTGGAGAGGCAGCGAGCGAGCGCACGTAAGTTACGGATATTCGCCGTCGGTCGCCAGCGTTTCGTCGCCAATTGAATTCCCGTCGAGTTTCCCTCGGGGCCGTTGTGGTGCGCGATATGGGCGCGTTTTTAGACGCGTGCCCGAGCCGTGAGCACAATTTTTGTGACTCAGTTTGTGCGAGGCGGATCTACATATAATGGCCGACAGTGCTTAAGCTTCTCGGCAGTGTTCGCGAATGGGCGCAACTTTGAGTGCCGTGCGTTTGCGTATTTTTTGGCTCTGAATCGCCACGTTTTCGGCGTCATTCGTCTCGGGAGAGTGGCTTTTCTCTCAAATGTAACGCCATATCGGCTGCGCGATGGTTTTTTGTTATATTTTTAATGCGAAATCGCCTCAGCCGAGTCTGCCTCCCCCGCGCGCCTCCTCCCCTCAGCCACCCCAACTTACCCCGCCTCCCCTCCTCGAAACCCTTCCCATCGCTCCTCACCCTGGCGTCCGCGCCACCCTAGCAAGTTTAAATACAATTTAACGGATAAAGACTAAAAAGTACGATAGGTTAATACATAACCAAGATGGCAATTTTTTTGTTGTAAATAAATATACAATTCACTCCGGACGGCAAATGGTGCCATTTTGCGCGGAGGTGTAGTTTTTGTTGTTGTATCGCCCGTCATCCGCCTTTACTGCACGACTCTTTATCGCCTTTACTCATCTCCATAGATGCCGCGTTACTCATTGACGTTGGCGCGCGCTCGGCCTCGCGCAACCGCCCCCCCCCTTACCCCCCCCCCCCCCCCCCCCACTGCGATGGGCGCGCGAGCTTCGCGCGGGAAAAAAAATCGCGCGCGCTACTGCCGCTGTTGCCTACCGCCTCGCGACATCACCCCCCCCATCATCACCCCCCCCCCCCATCATCACCCCCCATCGCCCCCCCCCCCGACATCACCCCCCCCGATATCACCCCCCCCCCCGATATCACCCCCCCCCCCGATATCACTCCCCCCCCCGACATCACTCCCCCCCCGACATCACCCCCCCCGACATCACCCCCTCCCCCCCCCACATCACCCCCACCCCCCACATCACCCCCCCGAATCACCCCCCCCCACATCACCCCCCTACCCCTTCCAGTCGCCTTCCTCACTAAATCCTCCTTCAACCGCCTCGCGACCAAATCGCCCCCACCCCCTCACCCCCCCCCCCGTGTATCGCTATGGGGGCGCGCGAGTCGCGCGGGAAAAAAAAGACCGCGCGCGTCGCTCGCGAGGCGAACGTTGGGCGCGAGACCGCGGGGGGTTCAGTGGGGGGGGGGGGGATTGAGGGGAGGGGGCATGGGGGATTGAGGGGAGGGGGCATGGGGGATTGAGGGGAGGGGCATGGGGGATTGAGGGGAGGGGCATGGGGGATTGAGGGGAGGGGCATGGGGGGGGATTGAGGGTTTTTCGTTAAGAGCTGCCGCGTTTATCTCTCGCCGCGTGTAAAACTAGAAAAATTGTGCAGATTTAAAACAAAAAATTGCGTTAAAACGTTCACTTTAGGTAATTTGAGGGAATAGATTACAAGTGAAGTATTTTGTGTGGTTTATTTTAATCCCCACACCCCCATTCTTACCCCGCGGTCGCGCGGGTTGATATTTCCTCACGAAAGCCGATTGCGTAATTTTTTCACTGCTCTTATTTCAAAGCGTGCGCGTGTGAAGAAACACGCACACACACATCGTGCTTTAATAACACGACGATGGGCGGCCGAGCTTATTTGCGGGTCGCCATTAGCGCTCGAAGCGCTGCGTTCGTGTTGGGGATGTCCGCACGCACCGAGAGGCTGTGTAGTGGTGGTGGTGTTGGTGGTTACCGCCAACAAAAACCTCTTTAAACTTTAGCGAGCCGGGATTTATTAACGTCGCTAGAATGGCGTTGGCGGTGGTAAATAGAGAACGAGAAGAAGGGTGTTGTATAAGAAGAGGGCGATGGTTGTGGTGGTGGTGTTGGAGACGGCTCGCAAACTCGAGCCAATGGCGGAAGGCGCGGCCGCGTAAAATGGCACCGAGGAGGAGGTGGGAGGGGGGGCTCTTGTAGCCGATTTAACGTTACGACTCCAGCCAACACCACCAACCAACACCACACCTACATATACTAGACATTTCGCCTTGATGCCTGTGTGTTTTCGTGCTTGAGAAAGAATACACGCGCCGACAATGAGCGGTAAAGGAGAGGGTGGTGGTGGTTTAGAAGGCAGCTTCGCGAAATGGCGTCCCAGGTTTATTTTTTGTTTAATTTTTTTGTTTAATTCGAGGGTTTTTGTTGAGGGAAAGGTTTGTTATTTTTTTAGAATAGTCAAGTTGGCATCGGGATATTTATATGCCGCTGTTTTTCATAAACATTTTTATATTGGTGTATTTAAAATAATATTTATATGGAGCTTTTGTGAAAATCTGAATGAAAGTTCTCCCTCAGAAAATATTATGAAAATTTTTATCTACTTAATTTTTTTGCAAAAATACACTTCCTTCCAATTATATAGCCCTCCAAAAAAACCTCTACCTCCCCCCCCCACAGTTCTCGTAAAAAATCTACAAATATACCAAAACTACCAAATTGATTAACCTACCACATCTGAAATGTTGGTAACCCCCGCAAATTTGACGCAATGCCCGCCCGATTAATTAGCATCCTGCCAGTTAAGATCTGAATGCAAACGAGTTCTTTATGTAGAAAAGCCAGCAAATGCCCACGCATGTTTGCGGATAAACCACGTGGGTTTCAGGTGGTGCCGTTGCGCAGAATTGCTTGGTGACATAACCACACACCAGCCAGCAAAACTCTAATAACGTATTATCCAACATTTTTACGCATTAGTCAACGCTGTTTGAGCAAGAACGATTGTGCTCTATCTTGTACTCGGTCATTAAGCTCATGTAATATTGTTTCTGTAGTAATTGTAGTGTTAATGAAGTCACGTGATATAAGTACTAGCGAACAATTGTAAAAGCTTTGTTACATTTTAAATTATACATTTCCAGAGAAGAGGTACCAAATTGGTTCTATATGTTCCAAGTTGGATAGTTTTTACACAGCACCCAGCTCTGTTAAAGCTACAAATGATGTGAGCTATTAAATATCTAACGTCTGTTTGTACCACTACCCTGCGATGGCAGTAGTGTCAAGGAAATAAGAAGAATCTTGAGCAGCAAGTGTCGGTGACAGCGGCCAACAAGAACCAACCATGGGTAAGGGAGATCCGAAGAAGCCCAAGGGCAAGATGTCGTCATACGCCTACTTCGTGCAGACGTGCCGCGAGGAGCACAAGAAGAAGAACCCAGAGGCGTCGGTCAACTTCGCCGAGTTCTCCAAGAAGTGCTCCGAACGGTGGAAGGTGAGCGACCGTGGCAATCATCGAGTCTCGCACTGTTTTTGGGACTGGTCTAACTGACATGTCAAAGGGTGAAATTGTTGTGGTTTTATTCAAGGAATACAATTTTTTGTCATACAGACGATGTCTGAGAAGGAGAAGACTCGCTTTGAGGACATGGCAAAGGTGGACAAGGTGCGGTATGACCGAGAGATGAAGACGTACGTGCCTCCCAAGGGCGAGAGGGGCAGCAGGAAAAAGAAGGACCCCAATGCCCCCAAGAGACCCCCGTGAGAATCTCATCGCACGCCAGTTATAAATAACAGCCCTGTTAATTGGGCCTGATGCAGTAGGGTGTTATTATCAGTGTTGAGAATAAAAACACATTATTTTATTGCACTGTTGAAACTGCTTTGTTGCAATAATTTTATGTTTTCTGTGTGCTTTGTATCCATTATTTTGCCTGTCATGTTATGCATTTTTTTTTCTGTTGCTGTTGTGTTGGCCCGTGCTTTTCCCCGCAGGCTCTCACGCAGCGAGAGTCGCTCCCTCACACTGTTTGCGTGCTTCTCCGCGTGCGGCGAATGCTGCTCCTGCGCGTGCGTGCGTCTCTAGGTCGGCTTTCTTCATCTACTGCGCTGAGTACCGCTCCAAGGTGCGCGCCGAAAATCCCGGTCTCACCATTGGCTCCATTGCCAAGAAACTGGGTGAGATGTGGAACAACGCTCCTGCTGACGAAAAGTCGATCTACGAGCGCAAGACAGCCAAGCTGAAGGAGAAGTACGACAAGGTGAGTGCAACAGGAGAGGCTGCTTTCTCATCTTTCCTCGTGTTGGGTAATTTGGAGACCTGTAGTGTTCACTTGGACAAGGTTGCATGGTTTTACCTCTGTGTTTACAGGACATGGCTTCGTACAGGTCAAAGGGCAAGGTCGAGACCAGCAAGGTTGCCTCGAAACCGGCCAGCAAGCAGAGGGATGATGACGACGATGAAGATGATGATGAGGACGAAGACGAGGATGAGGACGAAGACGATGATGATGATGACGAATAGGAGTGCTAGCAGGAGTGTAAATGGAAGTATGGTGGGCTTACTTCACGGTTTGGCTGGTTTCGCTAACGTTAGTTTCCTCTCACTTTGTTTGAAACTGGTTAGCTGTCTGGTTGGAAAGGTGTTTTGAAATTTTAATATTGAAAATCTATGGATACCATACATGAATAGAAACTGTGTACGGATTGTCCGCATTAATAAAATCGTCAACACCCACGGGTGGTTCATAAAACCAAAATTGGAGTGTGCAAAAACATTCCCATGCAGACCTCATTGAAGTTACGATGGTGACACAGGGAATTGTGAAGTAAGCTAGCTGTAAAGAAAACAAGATAATACTTCAAATAAATACACTCTTGTACTTACTAAACTTTAGTTCGGGGTTTTTGTGTAAGGGATGCCATGGTTACTGCAGCCACAGTTTGACGAGCACTGAATTTAGTGAGCATACCTGATGACATTTTTTGCTGAGCTTGTGCGTATTATATGCTTAAGGCAATAATGGCTAGATAATTTGGAAACTGCAGGTTTGTGGCAACAGTAATAGATGAAAACCTGTCAATTTTGGCATCTTTAGTAGCGTGTTGTTGCCGAGTGAAATTTTTGCTAGCGATTCAAGGATGTGGCAAATGAGCAGATGCTTTTCAGCTATAAATGGATCAATGTACACTGTGTTGTAAGTTACTGCTTCATGTACAGGCTTTCTCTTCCCTTTAAGCATTTATGTTTAAAGTGGAAAGTGAAAACATTTCATTTGGCGCTTCATTGTTGCTTGCCTTTTCTAGTTCAGGCTTTTTTTTGTACAAAAAATAATTGCAGTCGTAAAAAAACTGCCAAATGATTATTCTAGTACATTAATACAGTACTCGTGAGCTGCATGTTTTATTGTGCTTTTTGTTCTGTATTTGATTTACTAATAAACATTTTAGTGACTTTGCTGTTAATGTTTATACTTTGAAAAAGTGTCTCGGTGGTGGAAGTAGAAAGACAAACATGACTCAAAGGAGCTTGCATTCAGTTGCTCAGTCTTGGTGTATTCTGCCTTTGGAATAAACTGACCATACTGAGAAATTGGTTTACATCAAGGTTTAATGAAGAAAATGACCTTATGCATCTTAGAATTTTTCATGAAAATTGTAAACACTTGGCCGCAATGCCAGTATATATCCATATGAGCCATAACACATTTTAAAAGGTGTTCATTAAAACAAAATCCATATTAAATTGAGAATGTCGTCTGTATGATCTCAACATGTATACGTGGAAATTATGGAAGTGCAGTTTCAGAAACATTGACCAGATTGAGTCACTGATATTTGAAACTTAAAGCAATCAACCACATTTTGCTTTTTCCCATTTTAAGTTTATTCATTTGCAAAAACCACAACTCAAATAGGCATTCTATGCGTATTAGAATGGCATCATTGCACATAACCATGTGATGGCCACGAACTTGGCTGACAGAACTTTTTGGTATTTTAAGGACAAGGAAAATACTGAATTAGGGTTAAAATTGTATATTTAATGCATAAGTAACCAAATAATGAATGGTTATTAGTTTGCCACGCTTAGAAAATGTCCAGAGTAATGCACGTGTTTCACCTTAACGGAGAAACGAGAGCTGCTATAGTGTCATGGTTACCACGGTTTGCAATCCAGTTTTACCGATTCGATAGTCCGGGCACAAGTACATCGAGGCAAGTTTCCAGCCGAATAGGTTTCTTCATGTGGTTGGGTAAATTATGATTATCGCCCACCTCTTATAAAATATCTTGTTGGCATGAAATGGTAAAACAGCGTTTGCTCTAGTCGAAGCATTTCTACTACCAGTGGCATAAACAACCAGTTGCAGGGCTGCACCTTAACTGAAAAACCTGTAGCGGGCGGTGACTTAGGCTGCCATAGGGGTTGAACAGCTACTGCTGGCCGTGTCGCATGTTAACTGGTGCATTCATTCCACAGGAAATGGTTACCGGTCCTGACACGAACCAGTAATGGATGATAAAAATGGGGCACTGATAAGACGTTTAATACTTCACCTGGTACAGTATACAGATCGTGAGTTTGCACCCAACCATGTCGTGTTTGGAGTTTGCATGTTGTCCCTGTGGATTTTTCTATGGGTTTTCCGGTTTTCCCCTCCACATTTAGAAACGTGCCTCAAGTATTTGGCTGCTATACATTTCCACATAAGCCACCTTCGTTGAGCTATTGTGGCCAGGTGGCTTATGAAAAATAGCTATATAGCTCAGTGGGCCTTCCCTGGTAAAATAAAGTTTGGTTTTAGTTTTAAAAGTGCTGTACCAGTTAGTATAACAATCCCCGCATCTACTGTTTTACTGTTTATAACTCATCAGAAAAGCTAAGCCATTGTTATCTGTCACTTATGCTTGGAAACGTAACGTCGACTAGCCCTCCCTGCACTGGGGATAAATTCTGCACTGCCTAAAGTTCCTATTTTAGGAAGCAAGACATAACAGCTAAAAAACGGTTTTATTTTCTTGGGACTCAATGTTCGCATGAAGGGCATGTTGGGCGATATCCATTATGCTTGGAGGTTGACACCTTTGTATGGATTTTGAACTTCTTTCGTACAGTGTCTAGCAAAACCGTGAGAATCAGGTGTGGGGAAGGTACAAACTAAACACAAAAAGCAGTTCTTACAAAATGAGTTTTCAATCTTGAGTTGTGTACATATTGTTTTGTTCCTGCCTGTCAAACTACCTCTTCAGCCACAGCAAGTGCTTGGACCGGTTGGTCAACGAATACCTCGGACACAAATCAGCAGAATGCGATGGCACATAGTACTGGAGAGTCATAAATCAGCACGAACTGCCCGAAATATTTTCCACAATCTCAACTCTTGAGACCAGGGCTATCCAGGTTTCTATATATGCCTGGGGCAGTATGCCACATGCAGCCTCCTTATTCATTAGGGACAATAATAGGTCCTTTGTGGGATCCTATTTGTGAGGCCTGGGGACAATTTGCCTATTTTTCACACCTACCACCTTCCAAAAGTTTAACGTTTATTCTGTTTGACCAGGTGAAAATTCAAGAGACCAGGATAGTCTCATTTGCACAAGACTGCACAATATGTGCAGGAAAGGTGGCGTCATCTGGACATGCAAAGCACGCCGAGATTTCTGTTTTGATGGTTAGCCATTTGAGTATAGTTTCCAGTTTGCATTCATTTTTATGGCTGTTAAATTATCTGAGCCAGATAAAGTGAGGGATTTTAAAGACTGGACACTACATAATACAAAACAGTTGATTTTCCTGCAAATGTTCACTTGCATGTCACGCGAGAATAAAAATAACAAGGACCAAATGCAATGAAATAAGTTATGACAATGACATGATTGACAATATATACACTTTATTTATCACCACTGAAAAAAAACTGATCACAATTATAAAAATAAGCCCCTATTTCCAGTGTACAGATTTAGTTTTACTATCTCTCGTTTAGCAGAAGCATATTGCATACTGTCAAGTGTAACTATTTGAAGCAAGGGTTTGTTGGCTTAAGGAGCCACTTGATTTTAAACCTGATGCAGGAGACCAGATTGCATGTTTGTGGCATTGTAAATGAAATGGAATATTGCAACACCCCCCTCCCACCTGCCAATAAGTTCATTCAGCATTTTATAAAATTACATGCTGCCAATGTCATTCAGTTTTACACAATTCCAACCAACCTGATCTACAGCAACAGTTCTATACTGCTAGTTCTGTAAAAGTGGCTCCGTGGTCCCAAGGCCAAAATTATCATGGAATCGCACTGCCGATCACTGTTACAGCTACTTCGTATCACAAATGTAAAAACACATTAACGTGTCTCAAAGATGGACCACAAACTACCATGGTGCTTGCCGTATTCTCCAGATTATAATAGCCGCTCGAGAAAGGAAGACACACCTCATACTTGTGCACGGTATCAATTAGGTTACACAAATTCGGTCGCGCGCACACAAATGACCACCTATTGGGGGGTTACAAGACGCAGCCTCAACGTTTTCTTTAAAATACTGGGGCGGGAAAAGGGTGCGTAATAACACGGAGGCTACGGTAACAAGATGACAACGCAACACCCGTTCAAGAGAAATTCACCAATCCCAGGTCCTTGGCGGCCAAATATAGTTGAATTTCCTGCACATCTGCAATTCACATTCTCTTTTTGAACATGCATCTATTTTTGGTGTAATTTTCTTTCAAGCATTACTTGAAAACACGACAAGATAAAACACAGCCTTTTCCCAGGACTTGTACAAAAAAAACCCCACTTCACTTTGCATGGAAGATACATAGCTATAATCATGGCACGTTATTTTTTTTATGGAAAAGAATTACTCCATAGAAGCGTCAATTCAAATTGCAGTGGTTTATCCCTCGTGTTTGTCCCCCAGTTTACAAAAAGGAGTTAAGACGAGAGTGGAAACAAACAGCTTAATATTTCCAACTCGCCAAATTTCAAACCTTTCATGTTCACATTGCTTCATAGGCTCGATTCATGTGCATGTACAGGGACCTTATAAACCTAAAATTCCTTGCAAAAAAAATTCTACGAAACAAACAGATCCTCCAGCCGAAGGGCACGGCTTGCATTAGAGCAATGCATTTTTAGCTTTTGGTTGTTTACCGCGTACTTTGTGCATTTCACAGTGAACGATGAATCAGTAGGGCAGTACAGAACAACGGCACGGTGTTTCAGTGGATCCCTGGCACTAGCAGTGGTTTATGATTTAATGTCGCACAAATTGCTGTTACGACTCAAGTTACTTTTTGCAGTCATGTTAAAAAAGTCCCCCCTTTTCCAAATGCAAGTCTGCCCCCTAAGTATGTCAGACAAATACATGTCCTCCCTTTTTCTGTCGAGGATATATAAACTTAACACTTTAAGATTTTCATTTAACAGGGGAATTGACATTCTTACAATCAATTTTCCCATTATGCAGTATTATTTAATCTTCCGTCAGGCACATAACCCCAAACGTCCCTTAGGGCAATTTTGGAATGTATTTTTTCACGTCCAGGGGGGCAAATTTCACACACTGGATCCACTCCTTCAAGAAGATGACACCACATTGACTGCTCTCATTGTAGAGCTCACAAGACGTTTTGGTCAAGTGGTGGTCCACACAAATGGTCTCGGGATGCGAGACGTGTCATGGGTGCACGAGCCAAGTCCATATTCGCCAAACTCAAAGATGACCCGCAAAATTACCAAACTGGGATTATACATTGGAATATAAAACTTGTAATTTGAAGTTTGCAAACAGAGTGGAGTGTTCTAATATATTTTTGTATCATCATGACTACCCTCATATCGCGGGAATCTTCACGGCAGCTTTGGGCACAGATGTCACGTCAACCACAGGTGCCAGTGTTCTCATGACATTTGCGATCAAAAACATCATTAAGTTACGTTGTGTATACATATAAAACGCTTATACCCATTACATCTAAGTTATTTGTCCTACACACCTGATAACAACTGAATAATTTACGAATGTAAACTTGAACATGTCTATACAATTAAATGAAACCCATCAGCCCGTCCATAAAAAAATAGAACAATTCAAAAACATCACCGTGGTCGCGAGATTTGCGTGTAAAGGAAGCTCGCTTTGTTAAGATATTAATAGAAGTGGTCGCAAAGTGGTCGCCTGCAGAAATCGGTGTCGACACGTGGCAGGCAACAACCACACCTAAAGTCGGCCTGCATACACATGCAATTTGCAACGTATTAAAACAAAAAGGCATCAGAATTTGTTTTTACTTTTCAGCATTTTTGTTTTTCAAATATCAACTTACAGGAGTTATTTCCTATGGAATGTATCATCACGACGCTGAAAACCGAGTTCCCAGTAGGTTGGTTTATGCGATTGCAACGACAGTAAAAGAAACAAACGCATATGATTAACTAAGAGAATAAAGGCCATAACATCGGTCACAGCCAATGCATAACACAGTAACCCATCCCAAGTAAAGCTATAAATAAAATGTAAAAACAAAAGCTTTCACCGTTTTGTCCTGTAACGATTAACATACCGCCTAACACACACCAGTTGAACAAACTAAAATAATAAAACAAAGTTAAAACGTCAGGAAATGGGTCAGAAGGCTGGGTCACGTATACTGTTGTGTGTTTGTCTCTTGCGGAATATTGCGATACAAAGTGACAACGGGCCAACCATACACAATGAGGAAGATATAGATAGTCCAGGTCGATTACCATGCAATCATATTCCATACGTTTGGTTCCTACCATAACCCTACTCCCAACAAGCTTAGGCGAGGGCGTATTAAGTGGTAGGCGACATCCCAAGTGAATACCATTCAGTAGATCTAAAAATGGGGGCAAATGTGTTTTTGCAGTGTCACATGTTGCAACTTAAACGAGCCGCAAGTGGATCTGCGAGCTCATCCACAAGGCTTGAATCGTAAAGTCAAACAAAGGCGCCCTTTAAATACACTTCTGGTATGTGCAAGACGAATGAGAGGGCTGTAGATAAGGGCAGTCAAATCATGAAAACGGTGCATTTGAAATCTTGCGAGCACACAATCCCACATCACATTTTTCAGTGTCCCCACTGCAACCAGCAGACATAACATTACACTTTCAGGACTTGAATACAGGATGTCATGTTGAGCCCAATAGGATACCGAGTTGACAAATACGCGAGTAACGTGACCCACGTTTAACTTGTACGGTAAAAAGATGAGTAAAGCATCGTTTTGGGAAATTGTTACGTTCCCCCCATCTATTTTAGAATACAACGCAGCATTACGACTGTGAGATTTTTCTCAACTTGTTTGGAAGATCCCCCTTTGTGTGTTTCGCGGGCGTCTGTGCACGACCACACTCAATAATGACTTACGCGGACAGAAGTTAAAGACGACTTCGAAGTTTCACTCCGTAGGAGGTTGAAACAAACACAAACGTGCCAAAGATTCCACCACAGACAACTGCGATTATCATCAATCCGCAAACCGGATAATTTCTCCCCCGCGGCTGCGTCACAGTATCTCTCTTTACAACAAAGCGATTATAACATTGCATCAAGGAGTTTTTTTTTAAAGAACAATCTCCCAAAAATGTAAATTAATTCGAGAGAAAATAGATTTACAACCGATCAATCCGTTACTGTTAAAACGGTCTCGCACATAAAACACCACTTGTGACTCCTGGAAGTTTGTGTGCTTTTGGGACCGTGACACAGATGGAGGAGAGGCTTTAATTACGATGTTGAACTTATTTCGCATCGTACATAGCGCCAAGCGTGCTAATCGAAAGTGCGGGGAAGGACACACACACACAAACACAGTGGCTACTTTCACAATCATCCCCCAACAGCAGCGCACCAACTTGAATGATCGTCAACCCAATTAAATCCCCCTATGAACATCTGTGTATCCTTGTCAAAATCATCCAATTCTGACAGCCACACACACATTGTACGCCGCTTTCTGCATGCATGTCACTCATTAACACAAAAGGTGGCCAAATCTCTCGCTCTCCTGCTAAACGTGTAGAGTAAACCCATGCGCAATGATCAATCGATCCATCCCCCCCCCTTATGCGGACGGCATTTTTGCAAGCGCCTATCTCTCTGGATATGTATGCTTAGTGGCCGTGCGTGTAGGCGTGAGGATACAATGATAATTCTGCGTGACTTTACCGAAAGAACCAAGAAGATGAATACACATATCCCTGGCAAGCATTGCCTTCCATGGACCGTGGGGGTACACGTGCTGTTAGCGAGCAACTACAAAGGCCAAAACATCACCGCACCCGGCCGCATTTGTATCACCGGTGCTGATGTTTACACACCGCAGCAGGTATTTATTTATTGCTGAGTTGACCTAGGCGGGGAGCCCGGGACCGGTTCATGATATTTGTTCTTAGTTGCAGCGGGAATCGAACTCGGTGCAGTGCGCCAACAACACACACACAGCACACACACCAAAACCACTTACTCAGCACACACACACACCAACGCACACTCACTCAGCACACACACACACACCAACACACACTCACTCAGCACACACACCAACACACACACTCAGCACACACACCAACACAAAGACAAAGATCCCCAGTATAGCCTGAACAGACTGTAGGTGGAAGTGCTGTTAGCGAGCACCTATGAAGGCCGGAACGGTACACGAGGGGGTGGGTGGCCAGCACCACGCCCGACCGCCTTTGTCTCCCTAGTGGCGATGTTTACACACCGCACCAGGTACTCATTTAAGGCTGAGTCGACCTAGGGGAGGCCCAGGACCGGTTCAGATAATCGTCACTGGTGTTAGCCGTGAGCGGGAATCGAACCCGGGTCGCCAGGTTCATAGCGCAGCGCGCTAATCGCTACACTACCGCTCCCCACACCAACACACACACACTCGCACACACCAACACACACACACACTTAACATACACGCGCGCCACACACACGCGCACGTGCGCGCACTGGCTCAGTCCAGTCAACAGTGGTACGTGCTGCACAACACCGCATTCAATGGCCGCAGCGTGTGAAGAGAGGCTGTTGCGCAATCACCCCCCACCCTCCTCACCACCCTCCTCACCACGGCACCACCACAGGCCGCCAAACGAACTGCAACAACGACGACGCCGGCGGGAGGGAGGGATGGAGCCACCCCTCCACAAACTCCGCCCCACGCAGTAGCAGCCGCGTCCCCGGTAGGGGGAGACGTGGAGCGGTGTGCCGGCAATAGGCAAAAAGTTGAAACCAACCAACAACAACAACCCAACCACCACCACGCTTTACAATCGCCTTTCAACCCGTACGGTTTACCACGTATTCTTGTACAGGGGAATTGAGTTTTCAGGTCCACGACGGCGCACGGCCGTTTCGATACGGGCAAACATTTTGTATATTTGCTTGTTTCTCCCCCTGTGATGGGACTTCGTCGGATGAACGTTGAGATTTGTAAAGGTGCACGGGGTCACCAATAGGGTTTGAATTTGTCTGTAATAATGTAGGGCACCGATACGGGGTTAACAGCTCTGCTAATGCGAGTGGTTACTCAAGGCGCAGGTCAACGCAGTCCAGCCCGTGAGTGAGCGCGGTGCGCGCAATCGTGCCAGAGTTCAGGTGCACAATCATGAGAGGGTTCAGGCGCACAATCGTCTACGGACCAGCACTCACCGAGCGGCTCCTAACGGTTCAGAGGTAGAGAGAGAGAGACGGGAGATGATGACACAGGACGTGGGAAGGAAGAGGTCGGGTGACAAGCCGTGTGACTGGCGGTTGTTCGATGGCAAGGGTCGCTGGCATCGATTTGTATAGTCGTACAAATATTTTTGGAGACCCTTAGGTAAAAAAAATAATTAGGCGATTTGAAAAGTGGGATGGGACTGGATAAGGTAGGAAGTCGAGGGAGAGAGAGGAGTCGCGAAGACTGGAAGTGCTGTGATGCCTTAGTCTTGAATTCATATCTTTCGTGTTTCACAGGCGCTACTTTATGTAAACTTAAACCATGTGTTTGGTGCTTTCTGCTCCGTTTGCAGTGGTTCCCAAGCACAGTTGAAAAAAAACAACCTCTAAACGTCCGCCAACATCTACGCGATCTAACCCAAAAAGACCCCGCTTTATGATGGATAGTGGTCGTAAGAGCCGACTGCGTGTCACACCCAATAACAATGCCTTCTATGGGAAGATGTACACTAGGCAACGTTGTGGGCAGGGGACCCTTCTCCAAATCACACACACACATCATCATATATGCACATACGTCATGTGTGTCCTGTGAAGGGCCTCTGCTCAAAACATCGCTTCTGACATATTTTTCATTTTACGTTTTATCGACGTATGTGTTGAATTTTTAAAAGTTAAACCCGGGAACGTTTCCGAACAGCGACGCCTTTCCTAAAACATCCTGCTGCGCCAGGAGACAACAATGTCTACGCGGAACGACGAATTGACACAACGCAGTGGCATAGCGCGGTTGGCACGGGCCCTGCTGCATGTTGAACTTCTTTCGCACCGTACGTAGCCAACCGTACTTATCAGAAGGTGCAAATTAATTGGGCGTCCAATGTCCCACCCCCTCCACTCCTCTTCGTAACCTCCCCGGTCCACGTACCCCCCCCACCCTACGGTGCAGTTGCACTACCTGCACACTCGATAGCTACGCACTGCTCCCGACAACGGAGGGCAGCATGGCCTCAACGGAACCTCAACAAGGCTGCGTTGCAAAAAATGTTTCAGCATCACTTGCAGCGTACACGAAAGACGGGGGAGATTTCAAGGAAACGCCGGGCGCATACCCAACCGTATTCTTGGCGACCCGTACTGCAAAAGGAATGTACCATGCACAGCGATTATTTGACAAAATAAAAACTATAAATAAAAATACATCTCCTTTTAAAAAATAAAGTGACTTCTTCAAGTCAGGGCCCCCAAAATCTGTTGGTACAAAAATAACAATGTCAAATAAGGTCAAGATATTCATACCACTCAAATCCGTTTATCGACTGTGCTTCTATACTCCCACTGTGGTCAATTACTTCCCACAACCTACCCGGCATGGGAAGACCCCCATCCAGCAGTGGGATCGACTAAAGGCTGGACATGTACAGGGAGGGGGTCCAGATGTCATGTGACCTCCAATTGGCCCCTAACATTGTTTTCTTCCCTTTGCTCATAAATTTCCCTTTTCACACCCAATGGTGTGCAAGCATATTAAGTTTTAGAGAATTAAATGGGGATCACAAGACACCTCCTGGACCGCCCTGTACACATGGGTTACCAACGGCCGTGATTATGTGTACGCACAAAGACTCGGGGGGGGGGGGGGGGGGGCGGCTTTGAAGGTATGAAGAGCACAAAGGTGGCCGATCGCTACAGAAGCTACTTGCCGCAACGCGACACAGACGCGGTGTTACGAGCCCTGCCTGCGTGTTAATTTAGCAATCCAGGGCTACCGACAGACGCTCGTGGCTTCTGCTATCTTACACAGCGACCTGCACGATAGGCTGGGCGACCCTAACACTAAACTCGAGTTAACAACTCAAGTTTGTGATCATGTTAAAAAAAAAAGTATCACGTTTGAAATTTTTTTGAATTTACACATTTCCAATTCACAAAAATAACAAAACATTGTGTGACCCTGCGTTGGTAGTTGTGCCCAGCATAAATAAAATAAAAAGTGACGCATTCATCAATAACATTGCGCTAGGAAAGGGGAAAAAAATACACAATAGGTCGACGTTTCGGGCAATGGCCCAACTTCATCGTAGGAAAATTCATGGCAATTTGCCCAGAAAGTCGAGTATTCATATACTTTCTTCCCCCCCCTCTCTCAGGCAGATGTTGACAAAGTGTAGAAAATTCACAAAATACTTACTTACGCGTCGAAACGTAAACTTTTGTTTTGCTGCGGTCCATTATTGTTGTTGGTATTGTAATAAATTAAGCAACCGAGATGTTGCAAGTTTATTTAAACGTACGTAGCCGGTCCACGAGTATTCTGTGTAACTTCAGAATTGAAATAATTAGTTCTCTCGTGCCCCAATGCAGCACCTACCAACTCGGGAGCATTGCAACGAATTTGGTTCCGAAATGACAAGGCTGAGCCACTGACACAACGTAAATATTTATAAAAAATACATATATATAGGTCATATCTTTTTAAGACTTGTTTCAATATTATTTTCCATAAGGATAATACATATACTGTATATATGTACACGCGTGCACAATATGTACACGAAACCAGTATCACACACACATGTATGTGTATATAGACACATATTGTACATATGCTATATACACACACACAAAAAACCCTCCCCCCGCATAGCCGTAACATATTGTTGTGACTAGTGCCTATCAAGGCAAGCATGGCACATGAGGAGGTGGGTGGGCAACACCACGCCCGGCTGACTGTCTCCCCAGTGCCGATGTTCACACACTACACCAGGTACTCATTTAAGGCCAAGTTGACCTAGGGGAGGAAGCACTGGTTCGAAATATTGGACACTTATTGGTCATGAGCGGGAATCGAACTCGGGTCGCCGGGTTCGTAGTGCAGTGCACAAACCACGACAGCACTGCACTCGTATACGCACGTACAGTATATATACTATATACACACGCTGATAGAGATACAAACACGACAAAGACAAAGATCCATACATAGGCCCCTACATAACCTACACAGACTGTTGGGGCAACGTACACAGACCACACACACGTACATATATGTAAACGTGGCTGTAAGAGGCGTGTAACGATGATTCAGATCGAAATTAACGGCCACGAAACACGTATCGAAGTGTGCGCGTGAGAATCGATCATTTACAATGTATGGGTCGTACACAAAATTACACAAAGGTATTACATTTAGGGTTAATGGAGCAAACGGAACTCAACATAGGAGGGAGGGAAAAACACACACAAAGAAACAATACAAACAAGGTGATAAAAAACGAGACAACAAACAAAAACCTCATCGAATTTCGATTGCAATCATGACCCCGAAATCGAGAGAATCGATCACATCATGGGGGGGGGGGGGGGGGGGGGCGGTGAATCGTTACATGCCTAAGCATGTGTGCTTTAGAGACGTCGATGTGCAGGTCACGCGGTCCCGAGGGTCACAGAGGTCACAGGTTAGAGGCCGACGATGTTGTTCATCTCCCACTGCTGCGAGGTTTTGCCGTCCTCGCACGTCGCCACGAACACCTGGTGCAGCAGCTCCGAGCGATCGAGGCACCATCCCTTCGGCGTGTACACAAACACGTGCTTCTCCTGGTGAAGGGCAGGGGAACGTGCGTGTGAGTAGGCCTCGGCAAGGTAAGGTAATTGTACCCTTTTTACCGGGTAAAAGGGTGAAGGTGTCGACCTGCCAAGGGGTAAGGGTAAAGGGTAGGGTAAAAGGTAGGCTCGTTGCTTTTTACCTTTTACCTTACCTGCTAAAGGGTAAAAGGTAGGGTAGAGTGATTGTATTGTGGTAAGGTAAAAGGTAAGGTAAAGGTAGGCTCGTTGTTTTTACACTTTTACCTTACCTTGCCGAGGCCTACGTGTGAGATTAAAAAAAAAATTTGCATTCTGCTTACAAATTCTTTGAGAGCACATGATCTGTAAAAAGGACTGGGGAGTTAGACAGTTAAATTATTATTTGGTTCTTTCGGTTAAGTCACGTCTAAAGATAAAATAATAAATTAAATTAAATAATAGCATACGACGTTTCGATTGCAATTATTTAATTTATTCGGCTCAAGGCCAATGAGACCTGACCTCATAAGACAGATTACGTATAAAACGCACTGCCAGTGTTCTTTCATAGCGACAATTTAATCCCTTTCATCTCAACGCAAACCAACGTATCGGAGGAGACCGAATCACCGTCCCATGACCGAGCGGTAGAAAGAAGGTGATGTTGAGAAGCAAACATCTCGGGCGAGATGGAATCGCTGCTCCGTCGCTGCCTTTCAACATTATCACACTATCCATCGCTCAGTGTCAAACATGAACGTTACATCTTGCATTTTGAATTAAATGAAGTGGTCCCTTATAAAAAAGAAACGTTACTGTTCCTTTCCATCTTAACATCGGGCCTTCGACAGAAACACTCCGTTGCTGGAGTGGACAGCGCATGGAGGGGAGTAGAGTGAGATGATAGGGGAGAGGTAGGAGAGTGCATGAGGGGAGTAGTGAGATGAGAGGGAAGAGGTAGGAGAGTGCATGAGGGGAGTAGAGTGAGATGAATGGGGAGAGGCAGGAGAGTGCGTGGAGGGGAGTAGAGTGAGATGAATGGGGAGTGGCAGGAGAGAGCGTGGAGGGGAGTAGAGTGAGATGAATGGGGAGAGGCAGGAGAGTGCGTGGAGGGGAGTAGAATGAGCTGAGTGGGGAGTGGCAGGAGAGTGCGTGGAGGGGAGTAGAGTGAGATGAGAAGGGAGAGGCAGGAGAGTGCATGAGGGATGTAGAGTGAGATGAGAGGGGAGAGGCAGGAGAGTGCGTGGAGGGGAGTAGAGTGAGATGGGAGGGGGGAGGTAGGAGAGTGCGTGGAGGGGAGTAGAGTGAGATGGGAGGGGAGAGGCAGGAGAGTGCGTGGAGGGGAGTAGAGTGAGATGAGAGGGGAGAGGCAGGAGAGTGCGTGGAGGGGAGTAGAGTGAGATGAGAGGGGAGAGGCAGGAGAGTGTGTGAGGGGAGTAGAATGAGCTGAGAGGGGAGCAGTAAGCAGGGTTAAGTCCATGGAGGATCATGCAGATTGTAAGCGAGATCTTTAAATCGATTCGGGGACTGGATTGGGAGCCAGTGGAGGGACTGCAGCACTGGTGTGTGATGTGGGAGTTATTTATAAGCGCCGGAGATAAGCTGCATTCCTGCACAGTGAATTTACACAGCTACCTGCTAAACGTGCCAGAACAGTTCATGCAATAAAAACGCAACACGTGCGTCATTAACACTGTTCTAAAGAGGAAAAACGATCCTGAATGTTACTGCCCAAAATATTGTCTATTACATGTATTTTTTAGGGTAGCATTAAATAGCGCACGTGTTGAGATTGTGCTAGTTGTGTTAGCGCACCGCTGCAAAGACAAAGATCCGCCGTGTAGCCTGTTCGAACAGGCTTTAAGGGAAAGTGCTGTTAGTGAGCACGTATGAAGGCTGGCACGGTAAACTAGGGGTGCGTGCGCCCAACACCACGCCCAACTGCCTTCGTCTCCCCAGTGGCGATGTTTACACACCGCAACAGGTACTCATTTGAGGCCGAGTCGACCTAGGGGAGGCTCAAGACCGGTTCAGGTAATCACCACTGGTATTGATGGCCACGAGTAGGAATCGAACTTGGGTCGCCGAGAGTTGGTAGCGCAGCATGCCAACCGCTACACTACCACTCCCCACACACGTACACAAAGAAGACAAATAACAGACTGTAGGGGCAAGTGCTGTTAGCGAGCACCTATGAAGGCCGGAACGGTACACGAGGGGGTGGGTGGCCAGCACCACGCCCGACCGCCTTTGTTTCCCCAGTGGCGATGTTTACACACCGCACCAGGTACTCATTTAAGGCCGAGTCGACCTAGGGGAGGCCCAGGACCAGTTCAGATAATTGTCACTGGTGTTAGCCGTGAGCGGGAATCGAACCCGGGTCGCCAGGTTCATAGCGCAGCGCGCTAACCGCTACACTACCGCTCCCCATACGTACACACACATGTACACACACATGTACACACACACTACACACGGGTTTTTTTAATTTTTTGAACGGCGTATTGCATCGCCAGGGCGATCGTACCTTGTCGTACGTCCACTCTTCGAACTGCTTCATGCCGCAGTGCATGATGGTGATCTTGTTGCCGTCGCGATGCTGCGTCAGGCACTGGTCGTACTGCATCAGTTGCTTGGCTTCGTTAATTCGGAACAGCTGTGGCGAAAACACGCAAGTCGCAAGGTCGCTCAAATATATTTTCCCGATCCGTAAAGTAGTAGAGCGCCAAGTTCTGTGAAAATCTTAAAAACACGTTTCATCGCGATGCACCAAACCACCTGAAATCCACCAACCTCCACCTTGTCAGATCTCAGAAGCCAAGCAACGTTTAGCCGGGACAGTGCGTGGATGGGCGCCCACAATGCACAACAGATTTTTAAAAGGCCATTGGTCGGCCTACGTTGTCTGCAGGGAGCACTGCAGCAAATTGTTCTACAATAACGATGCTCCAACGTTTATGCACGTGTGCATGTTGAACTTCTTTCGCACCGTACGTGGCCAACCGTGCTTATATCGGAGGTGCTCGCCACCTACGTCAACCCGCACCGACCAGCGAGGTGAAGTACAATAAAATAGCCCCTATGAACCACACAGCATGAGCGGTTCGTCACCCAGTAGTGGGTTGACAATAAGGGCTGAGTCGTGCACGCACTGCATCACAGAATCACACAAATCTTTGATTCTTTGCACTATTTAGAGTTATGACCTTTGGTCAGTGTAGTACACGTGCATGTCTCTATGCGTACATGCACATATAGATGTGAATGCGCGTGTGTTGGGAGCAGTAACGTAGTGGTTAGCGCATTGCACTACGAACCCAGCTACCCAAATTCCAATTCCTGCTCCCTGCCAACATTGGTGATGATCATCTGAACCAGCCCTGAGCATCCCCCGAGGTCGACTCAGCCTCAAGTGAGCATCTGATGCTGCGTGTAAACATCAGCGCTGGAGAGACAGGGCTTGGTGCTGGCCACCCACCCCCTCGTGTGCCATGCCGGCCTTAAGGAGGTGCTCGCTAACAACACTTGCGACCAAACAGTCTGGTCAGGCTGTGTGGGGGGGGGGATCTTTGCCTTTAGCTTTGTGTGTGTATGCGTCACCTGGTTTCCTCCCATGCGGTGGCAGGGTCCAAGTTCCACCACTCCTCCGTTGGTGTGCCCCATGCTGTCGATGCAATAGCTGGAACCCAATCCGCGTATCTACACCACGGACACACAAGCCAATCATATACACGAAGAACAATAGATAACAGCTGCCGCTAAGGGGTGGCAATAGTGTTCGCCAGAATGCTTGCACCAAGCTACATGCAGTTTGAGCCCATTTGCAATGGCGATGGTTCCTGGGTAAGAGGTCATGAGACAGATTCGGATGTTATCAGTTAAAAAACGAAGGTGAATAATCATACAGACCAGACATGCATATACCACATTCACACATGCACATTCATTCTCCACACAAACTTTATGTGTTTTAGCCGCCCAGTCCTCTGTACCGGGCACTCCCCACTGTGACCGCTTACTCCGTTTTAGGCGCCTGGCACGCTGCTGCTCGTTGTTACTAACGACTTTCCTCTGCCCTCAGTTGTTGCTGTTGGAGGGCGACTGCCTTGAACCTCCCAGTAGCATCCTTCACAAGCCTCCTCCTCCACAGGAGGCTGATCTTGACACCGCTGGTACCAGTCGTTGGCAAGTCCACTCAGCTCCACATCTTCCCGTACTATGTCAGTCCATCTCTTCTCTAACCCATGCGCTGTGCCCATTAAGCCTCTACCCATATGCACAAAACACAAACAAAGATCCCCCATATAGCCTGTAACAGACTGTTGGGGCAAGTATTGTTAGCAAGCACCTATGAAGGCCGGCACAGCGAACAAGGGGGTTGGTGCCCAACACCACGCCTAGCCGCCTTTGTCTCTCCAGTGACGATGTTTACACATCACACCAGGTGCTCATTTAAAGGTTGAGTAGTGCCATGGTGGCGTGATGTTAACTACCTCGCCTGGTACACAGGAGATCGTGGGTTCGATCCAGACACATGTATGTTTGGAGTTTTTATGTTCTCCCAGTGGTTGTGTAGATTTTTTTCGTGGGTCCCTCCAGTTTTTTCCTCCACATTTAGAATCAACACCCATTCAGAGTATTTGGCCGCTATAAATTTCCACGCAATGAGCCACTTTGTGGCCAAGTCGCTTCTGAAAAAAAGAGCTATATAGCTCAGTGGGACTTACCTGGTAAAAGCAAAATAGTTCAAGTTGCCCTCGGAGAATCCCAGAACCGGTGAAGATAATCATCACGGATGTTGGCCCGTGAGTGGGAATCGAACTCTGGTCGCCCGGTTCGTAGCGCAGTACTCGAACAACCACACTACCACAGTCAGTTTTGTACCAGTTTAAAAGGGTAAAAACCTACTACTATATTTTGCCACTGGTAAAAGAGATCTCATAGTGTAAATGCTTACCCCGAGCTCTCAATACTCTGATATTGCACTGTGTTTGAGGTGTACGCCTTCTGGTGTCATCTGGTCCAACACCAATGGGGACTAGGCTCTAAAGAAATCCGTCTCGGGTGTGGACCAATCAACTTCAAGGACAGTGCATATTATTATCATTATCAGAGTTGCTTCGTTTTGTTTGCTTTTTTGACCACTTGTGTTGTGGTTATTGCAAACATGATGCCTTGAATAAAGGTGTCAGTTTTGTACCAGTTTAAAAGGGTAAAAACCTACTACTATAACCACACTACCGCTCCCCCACGTGGACACACCGTCACACACGTACACACACACACGCGCGCGCGCACACACACAAAAGCTGCATGGACCCACCTCCCCCCAATCGACATTGCGCGGCGGCAGCGGGTAGAACTCGGGGATGTCGTAGGCGATGTTCTCCATGAACCAGCGGAAGCTCTTGCAGTTGTGGTCCTCGCGAAACTTCTTGAGCTCCGTGACATCGCCGTACGCGATGCCCTGCGTCTCGGGCCGACTCGCGTAAAAGTAGTCCCGGTACTCGTCCCACCACACCTCGACGACGCGCACGTAGTTCTACGCCCCCACCGACCGGAGGAGGAGAGGTCGCACGGGCGAGAGACGCGTTAAGGAACGTCACGCGTCAAAGGAGGACTGCACCCAATTGTTATTATTTTTTAAAGCCAGCGGTTATCTTGTAAATGGAGTCACTCCTCCTGAAACACGTGGTTTCAGCAGTGATGCCATTGCCAGGAAACGATCCCAGATAATGAGGATGGCAATGATGATGTGTGGTGATGATGTTGGTGATATCACAGAATGACTTATAATGTTGACATGGAGAAATATCCAAATAATGCCTTGTTTGTCACGATAGCGATATTAAGAATGATAGATTTGATATTACGTGTATAAATATAAAATGTGTTGCTATGAATTACATACAATTGCATATTAAACAAACATTTGTTGATCATTATATACTACATTGCTACACTACGAAAAATGGTTGTATCTAATGTCAGGAGCATGAATAGCAAAGTCTGCCTGCATTGTGGGACACGAAGGAATAAAAATCGTTTGAGCTAGGACGATCAATCTACACACACACACACGGGCGATACGCTCGGCAGTGTGAGGATTTAAAATGGAACGAGCGTCATCCCTCTAATCCCCACCACATCGCCGTGGCGCTGGGCCGTTGGCGATGTGCATCGTTTCGAGAAGAGTCTCCGATGCGTTCACCGACATCTCCAGCTGCGATCGTTTCTAATGCTTCTGTTAAACGCTGTCCAAGATCAATCAAGATTTAAGGAAAAAAATTTATATATATATATTTTTAGTAAATTATGAATAACCACACTGCTCAAAACTTACTTCTAAGCGTGAGTTAGTAAATGACGGCCGATAACCTTTATAGTCACCCCTGTACATTAAAATTATCAAACCGATGTCACACTGTGAAGCATGCCAGTGTGCCAGTGTGCTTCCACCACCTCCCTCCTTTACCTTCCCCCCTCACCTCCCAAAGGTGGCACACGGCCCCCCCCCCAGCCCCCCTGCTTCTACGCACCTTGAGAGTGAGAGAGGAGCCCAAGCCGGGCGGAGGGGGGTTCCCAGCCCAGCCATGCAAGCGGTAAATGTGTCCCGCACGTGAACACGGCACAAAGAGCACCTTTCCTCCACATTGCCAAATCTAAAGCCAGCAGGCGTGTGCGCGCGTTTTGTGCGTGTGTGCGCCGTGTGGGAGGGAAGGATAGGAATACAGAGAGAGGGAGAGAGAGAAGGTGCAGAATGGGCAATGCGGCAATGGCACTCGGATGGTTGACGCGTGGGCTCACAAACGCAGCCGAGTTCAAACGTCGGTGGAGAAGCGAGTTGTCTTAACGTTTCGGGAGTGGGGGGGCGGGCAGTGGCTGATGTAGGAGTTTAGATCTCAAAGATCTCAGTTTTATTCAATTGAATCATTGGTTTTTCTTTAACGAGGTTCTGGGTGCTAGGTAAATTACTTTATTAGAAGCATACAATTAAATTTCTGATTCAATATCGTCAACGTGCGTTTAAAAAAATCGCACGCGTATATATTGGTGCGTATAAATGAACAAATCCTACACAAACACGTGTAGTGAGAGGTCACTAGATCTCATGTCCAGCCTCACAAAGCGAGGAGGGAGTGGAGGAGGGGGCACAAGGGTCCGTGTGCTGGTTGCACATCACAGCACCCACACAACATACGGGCACATCTCGCTTCTCCACGTCGCTCTCCCAGGAAGAATCCGCGCGAGAGGATGGCCACATGCTCGAACTTTTTTTTTTTTAATGGCGGCCACAACCACTGCCGATCGACTGCAAGTTTTACGTCGAATGGCAAAAATATTTTCGGTCGACTATGGGCCAACCTCTCACTTGGAATCAATCTCTCCGTTTTTGGGAGCCTACGGCGCCTGTCCGCTTACTGACACGCAGAAGGGGCGCGTGGATAACTACGCAAGGGAGCGAGAGCGCGACTGGTTTGTGGCGGCGGCGAGCGACGGTAACCTGCACGACAGAGAAGGGTTTTCCGGAGACGGGCGAACCGGCCCAGTCGGGTAACCTGTAGATGTGGCCGGCTCGCGAGCACGGCACAAACAGGAGCTTTCCCCCGCACATCCACAGCTTGCCAGTGCCACCGGCACAGGAGAGGGGGGAGGGGGGGGGGGCACAGGCTCACACGTTAGGGCCGCGGGACAAGACACGAACGGCGCAGACAGACCGTGGACGGCGATCGGCCCTGTTGAGCCTGTGCAAGATGAAGGCGGCTATTGGGATGTATAAACGGGAGTTGGGGGACCAGTACCTTTCACGCCCAGCTGCCTATGTCTAATCTAACCAGGGACTGTAATTGAGTGTATATGGCGTTCATGTTAGGGCGAGTAGATCTAATGGATCCCCCCCCACCCTACCACTTCACCAACCAATACTGACCAGTATGGTGAAGTATGGTCAAATCACCCCCCCCATAACCCACACTATGTGCGGGAGGCGTTCAGTTGAGAGTTGATTGGCTAAAGGGCTATACATGTGCACACGTGATGTAATGGGCACATTCAGAGTGATTTGGTCAGGTCTCAGAGGCAAATTAGGATTGGGCTTTGATAGCGCTTGGATAGGAGACCACCATGCACAGCAGGGGCTGAGTTTTGGGCGGTAGATGGCAGTACATAAAACCCACTTATTGAACTGCGTCTCGGATGTAACACTGAATGCATGAACTGTACTGATGTGCTCTCTGCCTTCTCAAACACTTACCTGACCACTGCTATGAAATATGGTCAAACAACCCACAAGACCGACATAGCATGGTGGGAGGCCTTCATCAGTAGTGGGTGAACAAGGCTCTCTCTTTACCCAATGGGCATCTAGACCAATCTCAGATACCAATAGCCACTGTGGGGCATCGAAAATACGTCACTAGGATTGCAGCGCAGCGTGCAAAACCCCCATCACACCACTGCACACACAAAGATGCAGACAAGGACAAGTTAGGGTAACCTGCGCATCCGTTAAAACAATACAACGTATATTCGTGCCTTATCTAAGCAGTGACGTATTAAATCAATACATAATAGCACGTGTACACACAGAGGTAGGAAAGAAGCGTTAAAATCGGATTAGAAACGAGATCACAATTTTGAATAAACATGCACCATCGGCAGGACGCAGCCGGACTCTTTCTTAACAACAACAACACTCCACATTGCCTGCACACCACCACAGATGCCCACCTCGCACAAACATTCCACACGTGTGCATCTCACACAAAACCACCCGTATCCTTTACACCCTTTTGAGTTGAGACGGATGGTCAGTGTCGTGACTAGCCGTGGCACACGGAGGCAGTAGTGAGAAGAGGGAGACAGAGATTGCGAACACGACAGGTGAGGAGACGTGGGTGGCCTACCAACGTCACGATATGATCTTTCGTAAGATATACATTTTCATGATGCGATGATTATCACAATGCCAATTTCCTGTAATGTTATAATTGTATTATGCGGTTTGGTTGTATTCTTTTTGCTCTATTTACAATAATCAAAAAAGTAAAAAAAAAAAAGTTATTTAACTGCTGTTCACTCAACATAAGCCAGCCACAAGTCTTATAATCACTGCAGCTTCATCAATGGATAAACACAGACACGCACAAGCATGGTCAGTTACACAATAAATTATTAATTGGCTGGTGATATAAATAACGATGAAGTCATAACTGCTATTCCTTCCATCAAACTGAAAAATGCTTTAGCTGGCACTAGTTTTAAGGGGTAATAGCTCTAAGTGTAGAACTGTATTCATCGTTTGGTATTTCATAATGAGTGTGTTAAGAAATATAATATTTAGAAAAATAAAATGAGCACCGTTAACATTTATGGATTCGAGAGATGGCGGTGGCATGAGGAGGCCTTCATCCAGCTGTGGAAAGACCATGACTGATGACGATGAAAACAAGAGATAATCACCAAATAATATTTAGCAAATCGGATGACATGATTATCGTCGGCCTTGCATATCGTACAATGTATTGCCGTACGGAATATTGCGCCAACTTTAGCTCGGCAGCAACTGTAGCCTTAAAAAAAGGAAACAATATATAATAGGCGACACACGTTTGAGGCAATGCCTCTTCTTCAGAACAGACAAAACACACATGTGCTATGAAAAATGGCCATTTCCCTAAATGTCACCTAAAATGTTCCTTTTAAGGCCACAGTGTTATTCACAAATGTATCGAGTTGTTATTTGTGTTTTGGGCATCACTGCCAATGGAGTATCACCGAAAAAATAGCTTACTTGACCAGAGCCACATGAAGTAAAAATTATTGCCAAATGCGTTCATGCATTTATGCTTTCCTCTGCTGTATCACTTGCAGGTTTGCTCGTGGTGGTGGGGGGAGGGGGTAAGCGGGCACGTACCTTGTAAGAGATCTCAAAGTTCTCACCGCCCCAGATCTGCAGGCCTGGGTCGTAGAGTCCCAGCTCGAAGAAGAAGTCTCGATCGATGGCGAACAGCCCGCCAGCCATCGCCGGAGACCTGGGCGCAACAACAACAGCAGCAGCAGCACGGTTAACATGCCCAAACTCCTGTTAAGCGCCCACGGCAACTACGATGGCACTGATCCACGTTTGTTTTTGGGTTAGGCCATAGTATATGTATATGTAGAACTTCTTTGGGACCGTACGTAGCTAACTGTGCTAATCGGAGGTGCAAATTAAATGGGCGTCCCCTGTCCAATATCCCCCCCCTCCCCCCTCTTGGTAGCCCAGCGACTGGACATCTCCTTGGCCCACTTACCCCCCCCCCCCCCCCCCCCCCCCCGGTGCAGTTGCACTACCTGCACACGCGACAGAGACCTCTTTGTATGGTGAACTTCTTTCGCACCGTGCGTAGCCAACCGTGATCATCGGAGGTGCGGGGGAAGGACAACAAACTAACACATGAAAAGCAGTTCTAAAGAAATGAGTTTTCCCTCTGTGTGTACCAAAATCGTTTGTTCAATAAACTATTTGGGGGAAAAAAATGTTTTAAATTTACATTTTAAAGTTCTTATATCTTCAGCGGCTTCCTAATATAGGTCTTATTCCTACGGGCTATATGCCCATGGATCGTGATGGTGACGATGGGTTGCGGAGAGACACCAACAAGGATTTTGGGCACAGAAACCACCGCATTTTGCAGGCACACACCCATAGGGCTCGGTGCGAGTCTTGCGCTTGTCCTTCTCGCGCTTGCTCAGCGGCACGCGCTTCCACAGCATGCTCCAGTCCCAGGCGCCGCGTGCGAAGCCGTCCTCATCCCCGCCGCCCTGAGGCCGCAGCACGTAGTCGTTGCCGTCGATCGCGTCGATGAGCGGGACCGTGGAGACCGTCCTGCGCGCGGAAGGAGAGTAGCAGGAGGAAGAGCGGAGGTGCCGGTGGAGGTTGGGGCCATGCTGGAATGGTTTCGCACACACTGGACTTGCGATTAAGAGGTCGCCAGTTCGATTCTTTATCTTCTGGTGCGGCAGTTGAAACAAATGGTGTAAGTTTATTAACCCCCCCCCCACCGCCCCTATTCCATCTTTGCGCCACCTCTGTCCACCCAGAAGTATAAATGGGTACGGCACAGTTAGTCGATTGGCAGGTCGCATGACATACAAATTCATATTTGTGGCCCAAACCACACCCGGACACCTTTGTCCCTTCACAGCAGATATTTACATACAGTTTGAGGAACTCATTTAGGATAAATTGAGTTTCCAAACAAGCCACTGATGTTGTCCACAGCGAGGAATTGAAACATGGTCCCTGGGATTGTGACACAGCGTGTTAAAAACTGAACCGCCACTATTGTGTCCAAGCACATTTTCTGAGCGGGTATCGATTTATCTTTTTCGCAGTTTCACATTATCACACTCATGTCGCATGCATGCCACTAGAAGCACTGCCATTCTTCATAATGTAAAGAGAGAACCAATTACAGAATCGAATCGTGACCCCGAATGTATATATGTAGAACTTCATTCGCACCGTACATAGCCAACCGTGGTAAATCCGAGTTGCGAAAACACTTGCGCCAACAGGGACATAAATGCTGGACTCTCAGATTAAAAGTCTGATGTTCTCCTGAGCTATCTGGGAAAACGCAGATGATGGTTATTCATTGAATCAGGAATGGGGGGGGGGGGGTACATCCCTGATATTCTAGTCATATTGCTGTATCTAGGCGCAGTTCACCAAAATATTTACCACTAATGTCACATGTGTTATCTTAGGCTGCCAAAATTACACAAAGGATAAAAGCAGTGCGATTTTGGATGCAGGCCCACTCCTCCCTCCCCACTCCATCCTACCATGTAATTTTATTGGCAATCTAAACACACGAACAAGACGTGAGTCTTACGTTACAGTCCCACAAAGCACTGCATCTCCCACCGGGGCTCAAATTGTTTTAGACAAACACTGCCAAGCGAGGTGGCCGTATGGCTCACAGTTCAGCATGTCGAGTTGGCACGGTTCAGGTCCTGGCTTCACATCCACGCAGTATCCTGTGATTAAACTGGGTTCTCAAGTGCAGTGCCACTTATCCCTTTCATTAAGTTCCAGATATGGGAATAAAAATATTGGTTTGTATGTATATAAGCATAGAACAATTTGCTCATTTTGATGACATGTTGTATGTATGTTGAACTTATTTTACACCGTGCGTAGCCAACCATGCTCATCAGAGGTGCGGGGGAAGTAAAAACAAACTAAACACAAAAAGCAGTTCTAAAAAATTAGTTTTCAATCTAGATGATGATTTAAAAGTGCATAGCTCCAGTGGCTTCCTAATATCGGAAGGAAGAGTGTTCCAGATGGTCGCAAACGGGCCGGTTTGTCCGCCATACGACAAATATTACTCTCATATGCAAAGCGAGTGGGAAGGCGCTGTTCCCCTCCTGTCTATGCTAGAGGTTGCCGAGCATCTCAGAAGTAGCTCTGTGACATCCAATTTAGTGGGCCGTACTCTAAACCCGAGAGATTTCAATATTGACTTTGTCTCATTAAAACGATGCCAAAAACTCCATCAACTTAACATGGGGGGGGGGGGGGGAAAGACAAAAAACAAAACTGCTGGCCCATGATGTGGTTCTCGTGTTGTGCTACGTGCTTTTCGGCACGATGTCCGACGTTTTGCTCCACATGCTGGTAGCTTATTCTCCAGGAACTGAATTGAGCAGCTCACCCTCTCCCCCGATTATACAGTGGCGCTGGCTTCTGCTGGCGTTATCCGTTCTTGACCTCCATTGGGCACAGCTATCTGATGTAGGCCCGCCCCCCCCCCCCCCCCCCCATGTTGTTTTGTTTCGACTGGGAGGAAACCAGAGTGCCCGGAGAAAGCTCACCCATGCGTTGCACAAACAGATAGAACAATTTAAAGGTCTGCCAATCAGCTGTTGCGTCATGTGTGAAGGCGGCCAACTCCACTCACCTGTCCTGAGCAATGGGAGCGACCAGGGGCGCGTACCAATTGATGCAAACCTCGCAGTGCGCGTCCAGGTAAATCAGCACCTGAAATTGCAACGTGGGTACCACACAAACCAACATGGGGCGTCAGATCGGTGGATAGCGCATCGCATTGTTGCCTCAACGTTTCTTAAGGTGACCCTATACGACTATCCAAGGCCAGAGGCTACAAAACAGGCTGCTGTGAAGGTATGTTAACTAATAACACACAAGGCATTCTGGGTTTTCCCACACAATTGCTTGCCACCTGATGCTACGAATGTGACGGGCAGGGTAGGGTAAGAAACTGGAGGGTTTTGCATAGAATGCTGCGAGAAGGTTTTGTCGACACAAATCGGGAAGTCGCAATGCGTGGGACACGTGTGCAGGGCAGAGGAGGGCAAGTTACCGAGAAGGGCAGTGGAGAGGCACCCAGAGTTCAGCAACCAAGGGGGAAGACCTAAAGCCAGACGGTGATGATTACGAGACTGAAGGACACATCAACTGCTTAACAAGGGGAAGAAGGCCTGCAGTCAGAGAGTGGGATACTGTAGAAAGCAGACCTTGGGAGATTGAGTGTTAAGTCTAAAACAACGGTAGAATCTAAGCATCAGGAAGCAATGGCAAGGCAAGGTAGCATCAACACCATTGTACTCGATGACTGACCTCGTGAGCCTTACCTTGCAACCAAAACTTTATGCATTCACAGCATGTGCTATATAAAAATGGGCATATGTCAAAATCACCCAGAATCCACATGGGTAATGCTTGGTTGGTGGCTATATGCTCAGGTTAACGGCCTCTGCGAGGCTACGTGTGGGGGGGGGGGGCAGCAAGAGGGTGCAGTACAATCCATTCCTTTATTATACTTGTGGCCCCAAATCGATGCAGTTCCCCCGCAAACACCAGCTCGCACTGCCCAGCATGGCAATAACATGGTCAAACACCACACACGACACCACGCAGTGGGGGGAGGCTTTCATCCAGCTGTGGCTTGACAAAGAGCCATTCGTGTACGCGTTTGAATGCTACGTGGGTTTCTTTGCGGCTATCCCATATGCAGCTCGCCGCGACGTATTTCCGGCTCGTTATTTCGGGCACACCGAAAGGAACGGAGTCTGTGAGAAAATGTGTGCTGGCTGAACTTTCAAAGGGCGTCGGATGAGGCCGGATGGGGTCACGTGGGATAAGATCAGGCCGGGGGGGGTCACCTGGCCCAGCGTGGCCTTCTTGGCGCCCGTGCTGCGAGCTTGGATGAGGCCTTCGCGCCGCTCGTTGCGATAGACCTTGACGAGGCCGTTCCACATCTTTATGTACTCATCAAGGTGGTCCAGCAGGTGCGCTGCATGGTGGGGGGGAACAGGTGCGCATTAAACAAAGAAAAAAACGAATGCGTACGCATGGATTCTGCAACGTTTTCCCAAAAGTGTGTAAAATATGTATGTATGGTGAACTTCTTTCACGATGTACGGAGCCAACCGTGCTAATCAGAGGTGTATGTGTCACCGTAAGAATACTACATAATATATCCCGGCAGGAGGCCGACAATACAATTTTAAAAATTAATGCCTACTTCCTGCTGTAGCAAAAACATGACAATTTTTAAGAAGGAAATTTAACATAAACTGAAAAAAGTGCGCAAAGAAGCGTGGAGAAAAAGCATACTCAAGACTTACACCGAGAGGCAGCAAGTGAAACACATTGATTAGGGAACGCACACACAACATTAGATGGAGACGCCCCTTAGCCGAGACCACGATGAAGATTTCGCTGATATCAGAGGAGCCAAAGCCTCTGTTGAATCCATAGGGGACAGGGACACTGCCCCATTCTGAAACCAGAGCAGAGAGAACCCCGACTGAAAGCGTAAGGGATGTAGACAGAGAAAAACAAACCAAAGGAAAAAGGGAGCCCTAAGGAGCCCCCCATTTGAGAGAGACCTCTAATGATATCAGCAGAGGAAAATCCCAACTCAGGGGACATGAGGAAGAGACCCCCCTATTGTTATCAGAGGCGATAAACTATACTGCAATTGCAGGTGAAAAGGAGAGATCCATACAAAGACCACAAGAGAGAGAGATCCTAAACAAGACTACATGACTTTACCGAAAGTACCAAGAATAAGACTACAGGTGAGAAATACTATCAGTGACACCGACCCCACCCCCACGACTCAAGGCACACGAGATACAGATGCCTACTGATATCAGAGGAGAACAAGGCTCCCCAGTGAAGGCACTGGAGCCATAAAACCCCAAATGACACAAGAGAGACACACGCAAGCAAGCAACGCTATCGACGCCACAGGCTCGCGCGAGAGCGCTTGCCGCCACGGCTGCCGTTGCCGCCACGGCTGCTGAGACGCACCCTTGGTGCTGTGGTCGTCGATGAGCACGATCTCGGCGAGGTAGCGTGCGGGCGTGCGCTTGATGACGCTGTGCACCGTGCGCATGAGTGTCGACCAGCCCTCGTTGTGGAACACGATGATCACGCTGGCCGTCGGCAGATTCTCGTCGTAGTGCCAGAACTTGCACCTGCGTTCGAGAATGAGAACATTTGAGAATCAGAATATTTACTTAGACTGGAGGAATCCGTTGAGCTATAAAGCTCTTTCGCAGATGTCCAGTAGGGGCACGGGGTGAGAACGTTACAACAACAAACAGTACAAAAACATGATAGGAGCGCAAAGTATAGGAAAGGTAAACAAAATACTTAAAAAAACAGATATACAACTTAGCTATATTTGTCTTACTACGTAAAGCCCATTTCGGTATTAAACTTATTTTCAGAAGCGACCTGGCCAAAAATGATAGCTCAACTAAAGAGGCTTATCTTCTTCTTGGTTCTTTCGGTAAAGTCACGTAGAAGGGAAGTAATAAAATAATAAAAATAAAACATAATAAAACAAAATAATTCTCACGACGTTTCGGCTACAACGCAAGCAGCCGTCTTCAGGTGAAGAATGAGACACTACCAAGCTGGGAGCTTATATATAAGCTGCGTTGGAGGTGGAAGAGCGCCTTAACAAAAAGAATGTGCATATGAAGAGGAATTTAGCATATTCATGGAAAATGCGTAGGAGGTGGGCGGGGGGGTTTCAAAGTCATATTATGCCCATGCATTATGCAGGATCAGCAGCACCAAGGGGGGGTGCAGGGAGTAGCAGTAACAAAGGAAAGGAATGTTAATGATATGTAGCTGCAGTTACTCAACAACCACGTAGAAAACTAAAGTATAAACTACATAAAAAACTAAAGTATAAACTGCATAGCACCATCAGTATACTTACTATACTCTACAATAAGCTGAGTTACTAACAGCAAGTAATACATTACAATTCTACGTCGTAAAAATTATATAATATGCTTCCATCTTAACTTTATTCTCTTACATCACACGAGCATATACCGTACTATATACTGCCATAGATAAACCCAACATTAAATTATATACTGTATTGCTGTAAACCAACCTATACCTTATACATTTTAATATAACACTATGTATTATTATACCCACCCTAATGTGTATCGAAATGGTTTATTACGTCCTTCCAATGATTGCTAAGCCAGAATCCATCTTCTCGGCTAAAATTGTCTCTGTGTTTGTATATGTGGATCGCCTCATGAACGAATCTCTCATGATAGCCAGATGGCTTGCAGAGAACCTCTGTCATGTGAGCCCACTGAGTTGTAACAGTGATCTGCCACGGCTGAGGTGTTTGTCCTACCGTGTTTCAGGTCAGCTTTATGTTCACGGATGCGGCCCGAGACATGTCGTTTGGTTTCCCCAATGTAACTGCTACCACAGAGGCAACTTAGTTTGTAGACGCCAGGGTACTGTATGTCTGGAACCACATCTTTTACAGACGGTACCAGATCACGGATTTTATGTACTGTGTTGACCATGAAGAAAACGGCGATAAATAAGGTCAAGCGCTTTGCCGCAGCAGATAGGGGGAAAAGAAACGCACCGGCCAAGAAACGTGTGCAATAAAATAAAATATAAGCATCGATGCCAAAACTACGACTGCTGCGTACAATTTTTGGTAGTTTGTGCTCTACGGCTCTCCGATACATTTTCTGGTTGTGCCACGTGGTGTTGCCCAGCATGGGCGATGTCGCTCCCTCTTCGCCCCACGTGCTGGGGAGCTCCCCACGTGCTGGGAGCACGTGGTAGCGCAAATAAAATATATTGTCGAATTAAGTATTAAGTAATGATTGAAAAACCACTTCGGAGAGCCAAGGCCAAAACTGTCGTTTCGGTAAGCCATGGAACATTTCTGCCGAGTTACCAAATTCGAATAAGATAGCTACTTGCCCACAAGTCAACAAGTTTGTGAAATTCAATTATTGCAACAATAGCAATTGCCCGTGTTTAGGTTAATAATTTGTATGTCTTCATCACTTCCCCAAATTTTGTGCGTACGCAGTCACACGAATTCGGCCCCTTGCGAGTTAAGAGAAGTAAGAACAGCAACGCACCGTCAAATTTCTTGGAAGTCAGAGAACAACGCGTAAATCTAGCCTTGAAAGATCTACACACATTTAATCGATAACACTTCTCAAAAAAGAAAATAGGGAGATATTGAGCATTAAAGGCCACTGCTGAAACGTTGGCCATTATATGGAGATTTCCAATTTTTAGGGCATTTTCGTTGAAGCTTGCATCGAGTTTTTGCGATTTGTGCTTGGGCACAACTGCCAACGCGTTATCATGAAAAAGTTTGTTCGCTTTGAAAAAAAGGGACTCGTGGTGAAGACTCGCACTACTGAAGGAACGGCAATCATGATCGTTAGCACTGGTTGTTATCGACGCATCGTTACGTGCCTCATCTACATCTACATTTTATATAAAAATAATAAAACATGTGCAATTGATCATGACGTCACACTCTCAGAGGATAACGCAGTGCAAGCTTTTAAAAACACGTAGAGCAGACTGGGGCATTTGCTCAGGGTGTGAACGGAACGGATTTCGATATTCTCCTGCAGGGTTCTCAAAGCCTCACGTGACACCGCCACCACTCAGCTTGGGCGCGGCGGCCAAACCGTTTGTGGCAACAACAAAAAATCCATTATGATATCATGGTGGGGAAAAAAATCCCTGCTGCTCTGGAAACAAAAAATTCAAAAATTTCAAAGAGAAACAGCTGGTTCACAATCTGGGCTTGCAGTGCTTACAAAGCGTGCGCTGGCAACTGCGCCAAATCAGCCGAGACATCCACAACGCACAACATTTTATTAAGCATCGCGCTTTGGGTGGCAGATTTGTGCCATTAAGCCGCCACGTGTTGAGCAATGAATAACATCGACTCGGACTTGTTATGCAAATTCAGCATGGGCAATGAACCCATTCAGAAGGGAACATTCAGCTGCGTAGGAAATCAAGTAATTATTGAATACGTTTTTCAATAACAAATAATTTCCAGCCTTTTAACTCAATAATTGTCGGGGCGACAGGGCGTTGTGGTTTGCGCAATGCACTCGGAAACTGGCGGCCACCCGAGTTTTATTTCCGGTCACAGCTAACATTAGTGGCAAGTGAAATCTGAACTGTTTTTTGTCACCCCAACCTTCACCAATACCGCAAGAACCAGCGAGCTAAAAGTAGGTGAACAACCCACATAACCGACACGGTATTCATTCAACAATTAGCTAATAAAAGGGCCGTTTTCACCAACCATCTTGAGTTTACGATAAGCACAGTCAACTCCCGTTAAGTCACGCATTGGTTGTGCAAGCGAAGTCGACTGCACATTTTTATTTGCGCCGCAACTACCAGTGACTCCATCCCAGCAACCCCGGCACCGAGCCCCTTCTGCTCAATTGGCAGGAGAAAAATTCTACAGCTGCACATTAGCACATGGATACCACACACACACCCCAACACAAACACACACACAAACAGGGCCAGACATGCACAAAAAACACACGTGAAAGTAAATACACACATTCTATTAAACTTCTCAGACTTCTGGAGCAAATGCTGTTAAGCAGGCACCTATTAATGCTGGAACAAGATGTCACTCCACTGCTGGATTAAGGTGTTCTCACACCACGAAGATCATGGGGGTTGTTTATGACCATTATTCACCACGAGTTGAAATCACCAAAAACATTTTCGAGCAGGATCACGAAAAAATTAAGTTAAGCTTTCATGGGAAAAAAGATCATGACATTTTTGCAGGAATACTGCCAGAAACATAATGCGAGAGCACGTGCGTTTCCCCGTTTCTGATGCCAGTGTGTGCGTAACTTGTGCAGCTGTAGGGTGTGCAAGTGAGAATGGAGTGTGATTTCAAGATTTAAAAATATTAATAATAATGTTGGAGATGGCCAGGTGTTGCATCTAGAGCTGGCACCGCTGAGATCCTGGTTTAAAATGTGACCCACACAGAGGCCGGTTTTGGGTTAGGATAAAGATGTCTTATGGCTGGCGACTCGGGTCACATTCATTGCAAGTCCCGCATGATGAACCAGACCCATTCGAACCACTAAAAAAACATTATTTCATTTTCTTGGTTCTTTCGGTAAAGTCACGTCGAAGGGAAGTAATAAAATAATAAAAATAAAACATAATAAATAATTCTCACGACGTTTCGGCCACAACACAAGCAGCCGTCCTCAGGTGAAGACCAGGTCTGTCGAGGCGACAGCTGTCGACTCGACAGACCTAGTCTTATGTTTATGTTTTATTTTTATTATTTTATTACTTCCCTTCTACGTGACTTTACTGAAAGAACCAAGAAGATGAATCCCTGCAGTCACGAAAGCTTTAAATCGAAACATTATTTCAATTTACCATACACGACATTACGGGAATAAGAGCACCCTTGGAAAAATATTTGTTGGTTCAGATCAGATTTTGGTCGGGTTGGTGTTGAAGCGGATTGCGGGTTAGGAGCTGCTCGGTCACGAGTTCGGGTCAGATCACGGATCAAAAAAGTCAGACCAGCACAGAACTCTTTGAGTGTAGTTCACAGAGTATGAATGAGTGGCAATTAAAGGGAACTCGAAATAAATACTTCTGCCATGTGATCTTTGAGAGAATGTTCTTTAACATGGGATGGCAATACACCTCCTTCAGCCAGTTCCGAACGGACATTTCTTCACTGCATGGCGCGATGCCAACGAGCCAAATTAAAAGTGTAAATGGAAAACAACTCCCAAAAATAGTGGGTACGTAATATAACAGTGCAGTTCCACAATTCTGCATGAATATTGCGGTCAATTTAAAGATCTGGATAATTTCTCATAATCATGAAAGTGGTGTTTTAATTAGGCACAGTATGTCAATCAAATTTGGACTGCCATTCACGTAGAAATAACGCGTCCACGTTTGTTGGCGAGCGAGAAATGCGCACTATGCCGCAGTGTCGGACGTAGTGACATTTTTCATGTATATATGTATGCATGCAGAACTTGTTTTGTACCGTACAGTCAACCGTGTTCATCGGAGGTGCGGGAAATGTATTTGCATCATCGCCATCAAACATCGATGGCGGTGGTGCAAACAGAATCGCGTATGTGTC